TGATTAATCTAATTTCCTTCCATTTCTTTCCTTCACTTTCGGTTTATCTAAAGTTCGGCTGTATTTCTATTTTTCTGTTTTCCTTGCTTGGTCGGCTGATCTAGCAATATTACTAAGAGTTTAAAAAATAATTTTGTCGGGGAAAAAATTCTTTATTTAAAACATGTCATATTTTTTTTTGTATTATTATTTAAAAATGCATTTTATAAAACCCTGTTTATTTCATTTTCATATTTATATTTCAGAATTAACCTTTAAAAAAACTTAAATTTTGCTTAACTTATTTCTGTTGTCATTGCTGTTCTTTCCCGTGAAAATCGTTTGACGATCATAAGCCGCTGAAACATCCAGATATTTCAGTTCAGTGCTCTTTCATCGATTTTTCAGTGAATTGTGTAGCGGGTTTATTATACCTAAAAAAACATTTACTGAAGTTTTATGTTTTTGTAATTTATTCTTCGAGATTTTGGCATCATCGCACCTTCTAGCCGAACAAAACCGAAATTATTTCGTTCTGTAAGCAGAATTAAAGCAGGAGAACTTTCTGCTTCTATACACAGTGCTATGTTTGGCAGTTTGCTGTGTATTTGTATTCAAGATGATTCATTTTGTTTGCATAAATCTTTAGTGGGCACCACATGGCTTCCTTGTGTGGCCTATTATTTTATACACATTTTTTCCTGTACTTCATTTAAACTATTTTTTCGAATTATTCTAACTTAATTAACCGATTCTTCAAGGCAAGTTCATAATGACATCAAAAATTTTGGAATTAAATATCCGGGTCCATTTTTGTTCTACGAAAGTCAAACTTCTTGTGTTTTAATTTTTTTCATAACGAGTATAAAACTTTCTCAAATATAAATTATAGGAACCGGGAGACTGCGTTTAAAGATAGAATTTTTTTTTAAAAATTTGCCCAGACTTGAATATTTTGGCGATATCATTTCTGTAAGCAAAACTGGCCGGTCTTGCAGATTTCTTTGCTTCTGATGAAAAGGGGCTTGCACTTGTTTGCCCTCGAAATCAATTGATTAACTAAATCAACTTATGTTTCACGCTGGCGAGTTTCTCTTCTGTTTTGACGAATTTACTAATACTTTATTGCTGGTTTGTTGCACAAAGTGTAATTTTACCACCTCAGTTGAAATATCACCGCTTGGTATTGAATGTTACTTGAAAATACATTCAGTAGAAACGGAAACTTGAATAGGCCATTGTTAAATATCAAAACATGGTTCATAGGAAGATTTTTGATTAATATGTTTCTTAATGTTTTAATGTTAATATATTTCGTAATGTTTCTTAATAACAACATTTTGAATTTTTGATAATTCCATAACTATTGCATGCAGATTAATTAACGGCATAAAAACCTTAACTGGAGCATAAGAACAGCCTAATTCAATAATTTTTTAAACAACAACAACAACAAAAAAAAAAAAAAAAACCTCATACAGCCGAATAACATAGTGGATGTGTATATATATACAGTCGATTCCGGTTAATCATATCCGAACCACATCGGGAAGCGATCGTTTTGGTCCTAATAACCGGCTGGTCCAATTACACGAGCATGTCCTAGTTGTAAGGAAATATCGATGCAAAGTTTCAATGCATTTCCTCGCATCCTGTGTTGTCACTTGCACCAACTTATTAGCGGCATCATCATCATCATCACTTTCTTGGTCTTCCGATGGTGGTGTGTGTTTTGCTGCAACGATTGCAGCGTCATAATCTTCATTTTCATCGTAGCCATTGAAGCTCATTGTCGGTGGATAAAAATTCTTCGCAATTTTGTACCTGTTGAAGTTCCCCATGTCCGTCATCATTTTCACTTTCAATGAGCATGTCCACATCCATCTCCAAAACCAAGTGCTTAAAGCCAAAACGAGGAAAACAGTTCTGAATTGTCTCACTGCTCACTTTTCGCTAGCTGTCGGCCACAAATGTAAGATGTTGACCACTTCGCTGGCTTTTGACGATGAGGTCAGTAAACTTTCTTCAATTGCAAGGATGTAATTAACCAACCTTGCAAGTTAAAGGGCCTTCAGATTTTTGATGATGCCTATGTCCATTGGCTGGACCAAAGCTGTGGTCCTGGGAGGTAGAAATTTCAGTTGGATGTTCTTCAAGTAATCTAAATGAGGATGTACTGCACAATTGTCAAGAAGAAGCAGAATTTTTTTCAATGGCGTTGTAGCTCTCTGTCCCAAATCTTCAGCCATTCTAAAATGTTCAGCGGTTATCCACGCTGAACATTGTTCGCATGTGGTATTCAAGATGATTCATTGCAGGTGTTCGCATGATTCATTGCAGGTGTTCGCATGATACACAATTGGTAAACTGTCCATCCTAAGTCCTTTAAGGCAGCAAGGGAGCCACAGAGTGCAACATGTTTGTAACTTAACGAGTGGTCCAGTGTAGCACGATAATACAGCCCAGTTTCATCAGCATTATAGATGTCATTTGCTGAAAAATTTTCAAGAAACTCGGGCAGTTTTGTTGATTTCCATTTTTCCGCATCTGCACTGTCAGCACTTTCTTTCTCGCCATGTGCTTTCTTGAATTTTATGTCATGTCTAGATTTCCATCGAGACAACCAACCCTCCGTAGCTTTTTAGCGAGTTGCTCTGCCTTGCATTTTAACATAGGGCCGCTTACTCGCACAGCTTGTCCAGTAACTTTAATCATGAGTGACAGGCGGATTCCTTTCAGGTGGAGCCGGACACTCTGTTGTTCATTTCTTCAAAAATCGGAGACGGAGTGGGACTAATAATCTCGCTGGCAGCTATGGTGGCTCTGTTTTAAGAAAGGTCAAAGGAAATGGTGCGTTTGTTCACCTCCCACTGGTTTTGCTCTTGTCATGCACTTTGAGGAATTCCTGACCTTTGATAAAGCATTCTCCTGGGGAGCGCAGCTACAAATCCTCCCATATGTCGCGGATCACCTGTACATCCGCTGAACGCGGCCGACTTGTGGCTTCTGTTTCTTATTTGCTCTCACGTTTTTTGGTTCTATTAAACAGAATTTTGGTCCAAATAAGTGAATAATACCAGGCTTATGTACATAGGATTTGTTTGGTTTCTTTAGGATTCGGTCCGAAAAAGCGGCTGGTCCGATTATCCGGTGGTCTAATTAACCGGATTCAACTGTATATACTTTTGTTGCAGCCGATTGCAACCAAAAAGGGAGGTGCACAAGTACATGTTATAGCAGACCTTTATGCAAAATTTCAACACTCTCAAGCTACACGTTTTTTGAGTTATGCGGGATACATACATACGTACGTATAAGTACAATACATACATACGGACGTCACGAAAAAATTCCTTCTGAATCCATTTTAAACCCATTTTGCAATCGATTTCGGAACGAGAGTCCTTTATTCTGACTTTACATACAGATGTCATGCAAAAACATCGTAAATAACAATAACATTCGATAGCGGTCAAAATGGATTTTTCCATTTAAGTATGATACCCGAAATTTTTCGCGATTATAATACTTCCCTTACTTCGTACAAGGAAGTAAAAATTAAGCGAACGAAGCCGAGTAACAGAGTATATATATATATATAGCCGATTCCTACATAAAGGGAGGTGCACAACTATATGCTATAGTAATGCCATATACAAAATTTCGTTCTGAGGCTTTTGAGTTATGCCAGATGCGTGCGCACAGCCATCATGAAAAAATCTCTTCTGAATCCATTCTAAATCCATTTTTAAGCCATTTTGAGAAAAAGAGGCTTTTATTCTATCCGTACATACAAATATCACGCAAAAGCGTCGTTCAGATGGATTCGAGAGCTGTCGAAATGGGCATTTTCGTTGAAATATGATACCCGAAATTTTTCGCGATTGCGATACTTCCTTTACTTCATACAAGGAAGTAAAAATGATTATCACAATTAATGGTTTCATATTGGCTAAACTAGTGCTTGTTATTAAATTTGTAAGTGGCACCATGTAAATATTAATTATGGCTTTCACTACAGATTTTGCAAGTGAAGATAAAGTTGAGCTTTTTATGTTTAATTTATTAAAGCATGATGAATATTTTACTAATTAGATTGTAATAGATTTATCTGTATTCAGATGTAGATACTAATTAGATTTATCTGTATTCAAGAATTTATATCAACCAAACACTTCCACTTAGTGTTGAATCATGAATCAGTTTTCCATACAATTCTGTTCCTTATTTTGGGAAGTTATATAATTTGAAATGTATGCTTAGGATCAATATTAAAGGAAGCAGAGCGTGTACTTTTTAAACCAGTTAGTGTAAATGCCTTGCAAAAGTATTGGGCTCTTAAAATTTTGAATAATAAATGTGATTTATCCATTTTTTCATTTTATCTTTAAATGCTATATCTGGCTGATGTATTTTATACCTTACCTTACTAATAATTTTTATGAACATTGTTATCATTGAAAATGTTCGTAATGTATTATGTACTTTGATGCAAGGTAATTGTTAATGTATTAGCTGACACTGAGTTTTTTTATTATTTAATTTTTTTGGGAGGTGATGCATATAGCTCTCTGTTTTGGCATGATGTAGAGTGTTAAAAAATACCCTGGAAATTTCATTTAGATGAAAACAGCAAAAAAATGAAAATTCATGATTTTCATGTTAAGATGTTATTAGAGAAAAAAATATAACTCTTTGCATAATTGTGACACAATTGCAATGAAATATCCAACCTTAACTTTGGATAATTATTATTACATTTAATATAACTAGGAAGATGCCAGAATCTTTTTTATTGTATAAAAATTTTACCAAATGTTTTGCAATTTTTTAAACATTTTTGTATTTTTTCATCAAATCTTTTTCTAATATTTTTAAGGGAATATTGTAACCTCAGATAAGCTTTTGCATAAATTGATTGATTTTAATTATATCATTATGATATGTTCTTTATTTGATAAAAATACCTTTCTTTGATATTTACAAGTTTTTCAATGCAGCTTATTCCTGTTTTCGTGCAGAGGCCCTCCTACAAAGTCGGCCTTTACCCGAAATCCCTGGCCTGTTGGAGGATGCATCTGCTGGTCTTCCACTAAGTGTTGAAACTGCATCACGATGGATGTCCAAAGAGAATCTTTTACTCCAAGAGGATGCCGACCCTCAAGTGTTTGTGGCTTTGTATGATTTTCAGTCTGGAGGAGAGAATCAGTTGTCTTTGAAGAAAGGTTAGCTATGAGTCAAAGCTTTATTTTTGTTTTGGAATAGCAATGCTACTATTTATTTTAAATCATTAAAAGTTAAACTTATATTACATAGAACTGACGTATTAATCAGTAGACTGCAATATGCTGGTAATAATGCCACTCACAGTTCTGCTGTCTTAAGTGCAGAGTTGGAAATTTATCTGTAATTCTATTTTCCTGTAAGTTTTTTGGCAATCCTAAAAACTACCATATTTGCTGGCATATAAGATGCACCCCCTTTTTTATACACATTTTTGAAAGATAAAACTTTATTACTGATTATTATAATGATTTTAGAGTATTTTAAATATAAAGTAATACAAATACAAAGTAGTTCTTTCTGAAAATACTCAATCTATCTGGGAAAGAACACCTTTTAATCTTTGTCAAAACCTAAACACTCATCTGCAGAGTTAAATGAAGAGCCACTTGAAAACTCTTTTAATCAGCATGTGAGTCCTCATATAACAAATTGTCCTCTGTACCATCCAGTGTATTACTAAAACCACACTTCTTAAATGATTTAACCACTGTTTCTATTTTCACAGCATCCCATGAAGTTTTGACCCATTCACACGAAAAAAATCGCTAACTCCGAATAAAATGAGTATCAATGTATAAGAGGCAATATTGACATATAAGACACATTCCGTTTTTCAGACCTATTTTCAGAGAAAAAAAGTGTGTCTTATATGCCGGCAAATATGGTATTTATTGTAGTTGGAATTTATTAGAAGCATGTGTAAGCTTGATAACATGGTATCCATGCTGGACAATTTTTTCTTCAATCAATTTTTATTTATAGTTACAATTATAAAGACAATAAACAATATAATATGAGCTTTCATCAATATTATTATTATTAGAAGTTTATTGTCAATAATATTCATATTTATTAAGAGTTAGCAATCTGTGTAATTACAACTGAAGATTAACCCTGTGGTGAGGTAACATTGTCATCATCTGTTAGTAACTTTGGAAAATGCAGTGCTGTGGAAGCCTCAGTGTGTTTAAGGTTGATAGATGATCTTGGGAATTCAGACTGCTCCCTCAGGTACACCTTGTTTTGTTTGTCGATAACCCAGCACATTTTGACTATATTACACTTATAAATCGCTGGTAAGAAAACTTTTGATCCATTTATATAAGTTGCCAGGAATGTCACAGAAAATCATTCTTTTAAGCAATCCAGCTCTCCAAATTTTATCAAAAGCATTTTTGAAATCTACGAATACAGCAAGGATACTTTGCTTTCTCCGAAAACCATCCTTTATCTCTTGAGATAAGCGAACTGTTTAAGTTCAGCATGTCTTCGAAAACCTGCCTGCCTTTCAGAAGTAACATCATCTTCGTCCAACACAAACAACACTCTGTTAGCAACCAATCTCTCAGTTAATTGGCATAAAATGTTTGTAAAAGAGACTGTAAGAGGGCTTTTAATAAAATACAAGTTAGTTTTCAAAATTTGATTCATAAAATATCCAGTATTACAATAATGTACACAAAAAAATATTTCTCCTGGAATGGATGTGAAATTGTGTGATCTATTTGTGATATGTTAAAAATCCAAGCTTTTAGAAGAATGCATTTTCCTGCTTTTGAGAATTATAATGTGAATGTGAATAATTAAAATGTGAAAATTATCTTATTTTTAACTAAATTTCTTAGAAACACTCGAATTAATTTGTTTCACTTAGGAAAACTGCTCATTAACTAAATTAATTTAATAGAAATGCATATTTTTATATAGGGTAAAAAAAATGCAAGGGACTTAATAAGAAATTGTGTTGGTTAGAGGTATCTCTTTTCTAAATTCTATAACTTCATAATTTATGCAGGTTAGGATATCATATTTTCAAGTTTTTAATTTTTCATTTGTATAATGCTGACAGTTTCACATCTGCAGCAGGTTACTGAAATTATCTAAGAATGAAAATTTTCTGAAGCCTTTGTTAAGTTTTACAGTTACTTTGGTGCTACTTAATTTTCATGCCCCCAGTCCTCATGATGAATCACCAGATTATGTAAAAAATGGGAGCCAAATAAAGAGCAACCATAACATTTTCACTTTCAACTTCTGTTTGTTGAATTTGATGAATAAACGGACAAATATTCAGTGCAATAATATACCTGAAATAAATCCAATAGTAAAGAATAAATACAATTACAGGTAGTTAAAGTAAATGCAATAAAATAGTCAAAATTAACGAGAGCTTTTGCAATGAAAAGGCAATGCTGGCAGGGTACTTCCACAAACAGTTTGTGTGTGGCGGGTTATTCCGTAAAAGTGGTAAGTGCTTTCCTGTTCAGGTTCCAAATCTGAAGCAAGAACACTAATATCAGCATTTTTAGACCATACAGTGGAAGGATCAACATTATATTCAAATTGTGAGCAAGCCTGCAAATCAGACAATCTCGAAATAAGCTGATTACAGCCATTTAACTGTGAATCACATGTTTAATTTTGTTGATCCAAGAATGGGTGCTGAAATTATCAGCCAAAATGTGGAAAGATTCTGGGGCTCTGTTAAATGATGAAACAAAAACAAAAGTGTACGGCTCGACATCAGAGTTGTATCTTTCAAAATTCATGTGGTGGAAATCCTATGTGAAAGGTAAGCTTTTTTACGCTTATTAAAAGCAGTTCTGAGAGATGACAGCTTGGCGATAATCTTGGTAGCATTTTGATTTGAGCCATGAAAATAAATTAGTACCTTTACTTCTGTAGTATATTTAATTGTAAGGTCTGCAGCATGTCATTTTTTCTTGTATGAAAAAAATTTTCAGAGTTCATTAAGAATAAAAATACATCTTTATTTGGTATTTTATTTCTAAATTGCAGGTGAACAAGTTCGAGTTCTGTCTTATAATCGGACAGGTGAATGGTGTGAAGCACAGTCGAGAACTTGTCAGGTGGGCTGGGTGCCAAGTAACTACATCACTCCTGTCAACAGCTTAGAAAAGCATTCTTGGTATCATGGGCCCATCTCTCGTAATGCAGCTGAGTATTTGTTGAGTAGTGGCATAAATGGCAGCTTCCTGGTCAGAGAGAGTGAAAGCAGCCCCGGTCAAAGGTCTATTTCACTGCGGTATGAAGGAAGAGTCTATCACTATCGTATCAGTGAAGATACTGATAGCAAGGTAAAATAACTGTTTTGGGTATTTTTGAATTTATTAAGATTTAATACATTTTTCATGTTCAGAAGTTAATTACACACTGAATGTAACAAATTGTCAGTGCAAAATTCTAATTTGTGTAAACTTTACTGTGGACCTGTCCAAATATGGTACAAGAAACTATATTTTGTAAAACATACTTTGTGTCTATAAGAAAGCATAATTTCTATGTTGAGTAATTCACTAGTTGTGATTTCTTATATTCTAATTTTCATAATATATAAATATAAATAAATATGTATATCAAAATAAAGTGCGTATAAAGTTCTCTAAATTAAAAACTCTTAAGAAAAGGAAAATTCGAATATAAAAGAGAACATACTTCACAAGTCATCGATATGTATATAAATGTGCTGATAATCTTAAATATTATAGTAAAATTCAGCATTAATAGATTTTATTTTTAGAAGAGTTTTATTAATGTTCAGGGAACAGATTTATTAAGAAATTACTGGAAGCTCATATGCAGTATACTTTTATCATACACGAAAGAAACATTTTACTGAGCTCATGGCAACTCTCTCTCTGTCAGTTAAGTCATCTGCAGAACAAGTCCGTTTGTTTGTCCCATTATCATCTAGTAAAACAGTTAACCCTTTCGCAACGGCGCACCTTTGTTTAAGACGCTCGTGTGGGACGGAAGGGAATCGAAGGCAGTCACTGCATGTTGAAAGAAATGTTTAATAAAGTATACAAATAAATATTAATCTTTTTTTTTTTGTAAAATTTGATACCCTTTAGATCATAATTGCTCTTTATTTCATAAATTACGGTTTCATATTTTTAACTGTATAATTTATGCATGCCATCTTACCAGATTTAAATTGATGATCTATAATCCGGAATCGCTGAAGTCCCGATGAGTCCTGATTACAGACCTTGTGCTGTAGTATATGTATTTTTTTCCAATGCTAGGCTCTAACCAATATAGGCATTGGCCACTGTTAAGGCCAGAAACAGTGGTCACTTTATTATGGTAGGCTACGGTTGCCTCTCATGAATGGACAGACTGTTTACATCCATGCATTCTCCAGGATTCAAAACTGGGCCCTTCGGTATGGCAGTCAAAGTCACCAACCACTTTCCTGTCTAGGTATCTCTTACTAATATATAAAGGGATAATCACCAATTATGTTATTTAGTAGTTACTGTTCTGCTACTTAGTATCCAGGGTAATTCATAATTATATAGCCTACAATATAATCAGCAGAGTGTTTTTTTTTTTTTTTTTCCTCCATGATTTGGACTTAATGCCTCAGTTTTTAATCTGGTAACTTTTGAAATCTGATCTCTGTTTTGACTTTTGAACACTTGCGTTCTTTTTAAATGTGGCATAGATTCTGTTTCAGTATGACAACTGTTCATATTCATGAAACTGAGTAGTTTTAAGATACCCCAGCATTTCTAGAAGATTCAGAAAAATTGACTATTAGAAGTTTGAAAATGTTATGTAATGCTAATTTTTATTTATTTATTTATTATTAATTTTTAATGGTGGGGAAGATAAAGCCAATGCTTCAAAAAATTCTTTTTCATTTCTTCTTCTTCAATGGCCAGGCAGCCCAGAGCGGGCCCTTGCTTTCCTCAGAATCGAATTCCAAGCTCTTTTATCTCTGGCCATGGACATCCACTTGGTTATTTTTAAAATTTTTAAGTCTCTTTCCAAACAGTCGAGCCACCTCAGTTTAGGTCTCCCTCTTTTTCGGGTGCCGAATGGTCTGGCTAAGAAGATATTTTTAGTTACTCGATTTTCATCCATTCTGCACAGGTGTCTTGCCCATTTAATTCTCTGAATCCTTATATATTTTACTACATCTATTTCTTTAAAGGACTTATAGAGTTCAGAGTTAGTTCTTCTCCAGATATTGTTACATTTTATGCCACTCAAAATACTTCTCAAAATTTTTTTTCAAATACAGAAATAATACTTTTAGCTTTTTCTGTCATTGCCCAGGTCTTATCAGAGTATGTAAGAATGGGTCTGATTAAGCTTTTGTAAATTAGAATCTTCATTTTTCTGCTAGTGAAGTTAGACTTCAAGTATTTTTTTAGACCGAAAAAACATCAGTTAGCATCTGTGACTCTACTTCGGATCTCAGGCATTAAATCATTGAGAGTATTGAGAATCATTAATCCTAAATATTTAAATTTGCTAACAGTTTCAAATTTGTAATTCCCAATTTCAAAATACGGGCTGCTGTTATTACCACATGGCATGTATTTAGATTTATTTTGGTTGATTGCTAGATGCATTTTGCTGGCTGCAGCATCCAGAGATGTAAAAGGCCTCTCTAAATGACTCGGGAGTGCGTGCGACTATGTCAGTATCGTCAGTAAACGCAAAAATCTGAACAGAACTTGTTAAAGATAGTTCTACGAGTAATAATGTTGGAGCCTTTTATGATTTTTTGGAGGGCAAGGTTAAAAAGCAAGCAGGCCAGTGCATCACCCTGTCTGAGCCCAATAGGCAGAATAATCTTTCTGAGCATGGGCTCAGAAAGATTATTCTGGATATAAACCCTAAGTCATTTTTATTTACATTATTAATTATAAGTTGTAATTTTCATTTTTGTTTTATTTTTAGATCAGATCTAAGAAATTAATTATGTTTTATATAATCTTTTGAAGTTTCATTTGCATTGATTTCACTAACTGCCTTTCTGACAGGTTTTTGTGACTGCAGAATGCCGGTTCAATACTCTAGCAGAACTTGTTCATCATCATTCAATGCATGCTGATGGTTTAATAACTCTCCTACTTTATCCTGCACCAAAGCGTAACAAGCCTACTGTATTTGCTTTGAGCCCTGAACCTGACGAATGGGAAATAGACCGCACTGATATCGTCATGAAGCATAAGCTAGGTGGTGGCCAGTATGGTGATGTGTATGAAGCTGTCTGGAAGCGATATAATGTTACTGTTGCTGTGAAGACATTAAAGGTTTGATGCATTCCATGCAATTTTTATAGTGTCTAGTTTAAAAATTTTTTGTTTTCTAATACTTCTTATATTTAGCTCATAATTTTAAATGTAGTTTTTTGTAGATGGCTCTAGAAATCAAAATAGTACTTTTCTGTTAAAGTTATGCAGTGCATTTTCAGCACCATGTGGGTACATTGTGGCTTATATCTTACCTATGACTTTGGTTCACTATTTAACCTTTAGCGACAGCATGTTGCTGAATTAAAAACCCTCTACAGATGGGTGTGTCATATATACATACATCATATACATTGTTGACCTTGTGTCTGTGAAGTACATTCTGATTCTGGTGATTCGTTTAGATGTATGAGAAGATGATATAAAGTAAACAAAACCCAGCTGAAGTGTAGTTGGTTTCACGTGATATAAACATTGAACAGTTTCCGATGCTTCAATTTTTTTTTTTTTTTTTTTTTTCCCTGGAAAGATTGGGAGTGGACCTGTTGTTTTAGATACTCTAGTTTGTATTCAGTTTGCATCTTCGTTATACAGCAGGCGTACCTTTTTTTTGCACCAGGCAAGAGAGTTGAACTAATAGTGCGATGTCTAAGATAAAGAAATTTTTAACGGAAAAAGAGTATTCAAATTGTAAAACCCGTGAGTGACTATTTTGACACCAAAAACTCTAGATTTAACTGAGAATACCGATTTTTGATACCGAAATTTTCTCAGAAACTGAAATGGAGGTTTGTTTTGCTTTCACCTCACCATCCAGCAGAGCAGTGGCTACTGTTTCACGAATTCAATCTGTTAAGTAATTGAAGCCTTATGAATTCATAGGAATTGCAGAAGTAAACTTAATTCAGAGTTATGTGAAAAAAATTGATTTTTTCACCACTTTTTTGTAATCTAATTATCATGATAGTTGAAAAAAACTAATAATTTATATGAACAAAAGATGAATGAAAATCCATCTTTCATCCAAAATCAACATACTCCTCTAGATCTGCCTAAAACGAGATGGATTCCTAAGTTTATTCTGTTGGGATGGAATTAAAAAGTTCAACCTGAAAATGTGTTACATAACTAATAAAATGATAGCGACTAGATTATCATACACGGTCTCCTTTCTGAATCATGTATGCTATAATATTTGATCATATATTTTATTACTTTTACATATGTTTAAATATAGATTTAAGTAAGTTTTTTACATTTCATCAAGATGAGTCGAATAGTTTGTTTTGCATTTATATTTTAGTTAAAAATTTTTCAGAATATCTTCATATTCTACATTTAAGATTATATTATTTTTAAATATCATTACAGAAAAAAATCAAAACAGTTTATAAAAACATATTTTTAATGAAAATATGTGTGTGACAAAACATATTTTTAATGAATATTGACTTTTTTTAAAAGTTGGGGTTAGTGATGCGAAATAGCCCGTCTTGCGAGATCGGGTACTGAAACAGCACACTGTCGCCAAGGTGAGTTGCACTAAGCAGCCTGCTGTCACATAAGAGGATTAACTGCTGATGCTTATATGATATACCTGCCAGGAAAGAGTTAAAGAAATAAAGGAATAGGAGCAACAAGGAGACATTTTCTAATTTCATGACAAAAATCTTCTAAAAATCAATTGGAGAGGAAGAGTTATTTTTTTTTTTTCTTTTGTGAAAAAGCTTTAACCAGTTTCCACAATTTATAAATTTTAATGTTAAGATTAGATAACTGGGAATTAGCACACAGCTTTCTTATAATTATTCCAATTGACCATTGTCGCAAATGTCCTTTAGGGTCAAACTGAGGTCCTCTCGCATGGAAGTGAAGCATGGTACCATCAGGGGGGGGGGAAATTGGCTGGGTGGGAAAGGTGCCTGACTGGTCATTAGAACTATATCATATTAATTAAAAGTGTTATAGGCCATTTGCAAATGCTCAAAGACAGTAAGATTTGAGCTAAGGCATTTAAACATATATAAACATAAAAATATGTTCACCATAGGTAAAATAATGTAGTAATAAAACTTTTTTCTCTTTTTTAGATTTTATTTTAAAGTATGAGTATTATTTTAAATTTGTGAATCTTTTATTCCTGCTATTTAATTTTAAATAATGTCTGAACATGTAATATATCAAAATAATAGATGAAGTATTATCAACAGACAGACATACAGGTGAGAATCCATTAACTCCAAACCGTGTTGTTATAAAGGCATGAAAACTTTTTAACATAATATCAAATAATGTCATCATTATGAAAAACTTGTTCTATGTGCAATAGGATTAGAATTATGTAAATAATGGATTGGCAAGAAAGTAATTTCAATTTGCACAAATAGTTAATGTTATGTTTATTTTTGTTATTTTTTTGTCAATCTTAATATTAATTTTTTCCCCCTTTTGAGGCTTGGCAGCTGAATTGCAATAGAAACAGATTTTGTGTATTTTTAGTTTGGAACATTAGTTTGCAGTCGATTTTAACATAGGTAGCCCCCCTCCCCCCCAAAAAAAAACATTTTTGACATATTTTTTTATTTTCATAAGGATAGAAAAAGTGGCTGAAACTGGCAAAAAGATAAGTGCAGTTTATGCTGTTGATTGCTTAACAGAACGCATTTGTCAGAATTGATTTAAAAAAATTGTTCTGGAGATTTTTCACTTGAAGATGGCCAGCATTTTGGTTGACCTTCTGAAGTTGATGATGACAAAATTAAAGCCCTATTTGAATCGAATTGTCATGCGAGAGATAGCAAACTGTTAAATTAATTACACACAACAATTGAAAATCACATAAGATATCTGGGACTTGTTAACCCTTTGCAGCACTGTGTGTCTGGTCTGGACACACCTAAAAATTTCCTTCTGTACACACAGAAAAATTGAATGAAAAAGGATTTATAAATTACTATAGGCTACTCTGAACCTTCTTTATTTATAGTAGATGGCAGCTCAACACAAACCAGTCCATATATTTTAGCCACGTTTAGTTTTTTAAAACCCTTATTTTTCAAAGAAATCTTCCAGATTTTTTTTAGAGTATAAGAGGAATTGTTTGAAAAGAAATAGGTTATTTTTTTGGCTGTATGCTAATCTATTTATTCTATATTAGTTTTAAAATTTTACCTTGAAATCTTGCCTAAAATCAAACGGCAAACCCTATGTGTGCCGAGACCGGGCTCACCGATAATCTAGGACAACTGAGTCTGTATTCTTTGTTTCTCCGCATCTCATTGGTCAGGTCATTGACAACAATGCTCGTTTCAGCACTCTTTTCGAAGCTCTATTCAATCAGTGTGCCCACTTTGGGCACAACCTCAGAATTAAAAGATAAGTGCTATCTTCACAAAATTTTACTTGTGTACCTAGGCCTAATTAGACTGCCTACCCCCTTTTTTTTAAATCAAAACTCCGACTTTAAAAGGTAGCATGCAGGAAAGGGTTAAGAAGCTCGATATTTAAATTCACTGTGTTAAGTGAAAGAAATTCACTTAACACAGTGAATCAATACTTCTGATACACATTTCAAGTGAACTGCAATCAACCCCCTTTTTTTAAATGAATTATCACTGATGATGAAAAATAGATCGTCTACAATAACATTAATTGAAAAAGATCATGGTCCAAGCATGTTGAATCAGCACAAATCATGCTGTTACATATGGCTTTATTGAAAAATATCAATCCAAACATATAAAACAGCTCAAGTATCACACATGGACAATGATAAATAATAAAAATATTTAAACAAGAAGGGAAAAAACATAAGAGATGTAGTCTACAGGGAGTTCACAAAAGCTTTGGCATTCCAATATAGTTTACTTATCTCACCACATTTCTGAGACTCTTTATCTAGTTCTGCTCATATAAGAAAATGCTCTGCATTCATGATACCCGAATTGTAAATTTGGCATGTTAAGATGCTGTGCCATGCAGTTGTGACCTATTTGCAGTCTGAAGTTTGTGACAGCCTCTTTACGGAGTTTTTTGACAAAACTTTTTCCATGTGTCTTGAATGTTAGTCCAGGATTTGCCTGTTACTTTTGCTGCATAGTCAAGTTTAAGAGTATCCTCATCACAAATCATATCGATAGTAAAATTACATCAGAAAACGATCATGCTGTCACTTTTTTGGGATTGCAAAGGTTTGTATTTTGTGGCTGCTTCTAAGTAACTATAAGATCAACTCAGATGTTTTCTGCCAACAACTTGTAAATCTGTAGATAGCAGTCAAAGAGGAAAGGCCAGAACTGGCAAATTGCAAAGGAATAATGATCCGCCATGACGATGTGAGGCCTCGCACATCTTTAGCAGCACGTACGAAATTATTGGAGCTTGGTTGGGAAGGGATGTTGCAAAGTTTGCAAAATGTCTTAAATGGTAAAAATTTAGTAATAAAAATAATCTGAAAGTCATATTGAGTTTTTTGCTGATAAATACCAGAAGTTCTGTGAGTACGAAATCATGAAGTTACCAAAAAGAAGGCAAAATGTCATCAAACAGAATGGGAAATATTTGATTGATGAAAGCTTATTTTTTGTATGGAAAAAATTTTATTTTATTTTGAACTAAAAAAATCAAAATTAGTTTCTTGCCCAGTTAATTTTAACGGTAGCATACGAATGCTTGCTTTAGTACTAATGCACAGAAGTATTCAAAACTTGACCTTTATTTATTACCTTAAAATATAACCTCTTTTAGAAGTGTATGTTATAAGTTAATATAAAGAATAAAATGAAAAGTTATGGAAAAGTTTCATAGTGTCTGAACTACTGCATACTATAGTTTTTTTGTTGCTGTGTTAAAAATGCATGGCTATAATATATAGAATGATTTCTGAATAACTGTTTATTTAAGACATTTATTGTATTATACAGAAATTCTAAATTTTAAGTGTCATATTACTTAAAATATGGTTTTATTTATGTATTTTTTATATTTTATTTATTTATTTATTGTCTTTTTATTATTGACTGAAATTTTTTCAGATGTGTTCATTGAAATAGAGAATATGCATTAAATAAAATATCTAAAACTGTAATGGGTGCAAATTTAATTTTGATTGTGCTTTCAAGTGTTATTATTATCATGGCTTTCAGATTTGTCGTTCAAATATCTAATGCTTTGAGGTCACAATTATAATTTCAAAATGAAACTAATATCATCTGAATTTTAAAAAATATACATTCACTTGAATGTATGACCTCTAAAGTGATTTCGTCAGGTTAACTTGATTTTTACGATTATTATTATTTTCACTTCAGAAAATGAGAAAAATTTTTAAGATGATATTTGGCATTTTTAACAGTGTTTCCCTTACCTGAAAATTCTGTTATTTACTTATCTCTTATTTATTTACCTTACTCTAATATATCAATAAACGATCTTATTTTTTTTAGGAAGATACAATGGCTTTAAAGGATTTTTTAGAAGAAGCAGCAATTATGAAAGAAATGAAACATCCAAATCTAGTTCAACTTCTGGGTATGTTGAATTTAAATTTAATAGTCAGCATTCTGCTCTGTAATGTTGACATGTAGTTTAATTTTTGATTCTTAATTAGTTGACTCAAAGTTTCTTAAAACCCAATATTAGCAGATATCAAATAATCAATATGTAATTATGTATGTGTATGCATGTGTTTTAGTGAGAGACTGTTAACATCAGTTGTCAAAATTTAAACTAGAAATAATGTGAAAATATTGCATAATAATGTTAAAAAGATAGGCTATAAATCCATCTCTAAATGTGCATTCTTAAATTCAAGGTGATTTTAATCTGTAATTTTATGAATCCTATTAATTAATTTCATTAAAAATATGCTTGCACCATTTTTGAGGGGGGGCAGAAGAGGAACGCTTTGTAAATTCATACAATGATTTTTTTTTCCTTTAAAAAGTATTATGTAGTGCATCTAAATTTATCTATGTATGTAAAGCACAAAAATGTATTTATCAGGTGCCATGCTGCCTGGAAAACCAGAAAAAGTCGGGGAATTCGGAAACTGAACAAAAAAGTCAGGGAATATAACTATTTAAGTCAAAATCTGAAAAAATCGGGAAATTTCATACTGTGATACTCAAAAAAAGCAACTTTCGCAAACGCGGAAGCAGTCACTTTCTTGGCGAATCATTTATCGCTCTAGCATCATTCAGACAGCTGGCATAGTGCCAATTTTCACAGCACCAATCAGATTGTCTTTTAGAAAGGGAAAGATCATCTTTTCTAGTAACCTCGAAAATCCAGAGATTAACATGTGCAGTGCATGCTGAACGAAAGTAAATTCCCCCCCCATTCTCGTATATAACAAAATATTTTAAACCTTTCCTTCTTTCTTAAATGCCTTATTTGTTATTTTGAAGTACCATTAAAAAAATAATAATAATCAGTCATCTAGGCTAGCCATTTAATATATGTACTATATTTAGCAAAATACCATCGATTTTTGTAATTTAGTTTGTAATCCTTAAGTAATTAACTTTATTTAATGTTCTCCATGTCATTATTTATTGTTTTAATGTTTTCCATATCATTTGATTGGTCTTTGTCCTTCGAAATTTATTTATTATTAGTTAATAATACTTTCAAATTTCAGGCAGTTTTCTCTGGCATACTTGTGAAACTAATTCTGGCAATAATATGACATACCATAATGAAATTTAGTGCACATATTTTTTCTTGTGTATGCTGCTAAAGGAATAAAAATACTTGAATTTATTTAAAAATATCATTAAATAGATTTCTTTCTTCCTTTCACTTTTTTCTATTATATATATATTAATTTTGCAAATATTTATTATTTGATTTTTTTTTGCAAAGATAGCATTATGTTTCTTAATTTTCTAATGTTATTTCAAATGCTTTGAGTTCTATTTCATAATTCCAATTAAAATTACCACTGTTTAATTTTTATACAAATAGTTTTGAATTACCATCCCTAAAAGTGAAGGTGTCGGGGGACATTTACTCAAGTATTTTATAAATTTTACTGCATAAATTGCTTTTCACTCAAAATTTATAAAGAATCTTGTATTAGTAAAAATGCTTAATTCAGAATGAGTTCTTTGGTACTCTACTTAGGTTCTAAATCCCATCACTTCACAGAACTACAGTTTTGGACTAACTAACTTTGCCAATTTGGCATAAGCATTCTTACTAAGACGACAGTAAAAGACGAAACACCTTCGTATTTATAAATTATTGTTCATTGAATGGGAGTTGGTTTGTTCTCCAAAAGTCAACTAATTTCCGATCAATAGCAATAATTACTTGCTTTTAATTTTTCAAAGTTTGAAATTAGTTATTCATGATTTAATTCAACTCCCCATAAAACATTTTTAATAATTTACATTCAAGTTACTTTAAATCACAATTTTCAGAATTAAACTTAGTACATATGGGTTCACTCTTTTTTGATACTTCTACTAATTTATATTAGGAGATAATATAATCAATATTTCTTTAGTAAATAAATTATATATATATATGTCATATGTAATTGGAAATTTTTTGTGTTTTCAAGTGGTACCATAATTAATTTACCCTCAACACAGCCAATATGCACTACAGGGATAGCCTGGAATTTTCTTGAAACACACTTGGGAATTTCAGTCTCCTGTTCGAGTGGCAACCCTGATTTACGTCTAATTCGGTCATGCATAAAATATAAGCATATAAAATTAAACATATTTCATAGCTATTTTACATAAGGTATGTTTTGTTGCTTGTCAGAGTATCTGGTTGCCAAGATGTCAAATTTTAAGGAATTTTGATTATTTCCCATGACACTTCTTCATAGTTTCTAGTATTTCATTGTTAGTGGATTTATGCAAAACCTTAACTGTAATTCATTTCGTAAATTTATTCAGGAACTGTTGTCGTCAATGAGGTAATTTTATGCGATATACCCCCCCCCCAAGTTTAGATGTTGCCTTGAAATGTTGTTTGTGCAATAAGTATTGTGATTAAGCATAATATGAAAGTTTATTCAAAAATTATATTCACAGTAATAATTGAATAGTAATGCAGGTAAAACTTGGAGAATCATCAAATATTGCAAAATATTTTAATAACATTCATATATATCAATTATGTGCAATCTCCCCAAGCTCAGGTACAGCTAACTTCTTTGGAAACATAAATCAATGAGATGGGTATACGTGCAGGCAAATTGTAAATCTAATTTTCTTTTTAATTTCTCAGGTGTTTGTACAAGGGAACCACCATTCTACATCATAACAGAATTTATGCCTTGTGGGAATCTTTTAGATTATTTACGAAATGCTAATCGGGAAGAAATAAATGCTGTAGTGCTTATGTATATGGCTACTCAAATTGCTTCTGCTATGTCATATCTTGAGTCTCACAGCTTCATACACAGGTTTGTTTATGTACTTTACTCTTATAATTAAATTGTGCTAGTTATTTTTATGTTGTGAATTGACCTGGTAGTCATTAAATAAACATTATGCACCAATAAGCATGTAATGTTGACAAGCAATATTCATCATAGAAATGTATGGTTGGAATGCAAATGGCGAGCTGCTAGGTAGCATTGTAAACAAATGCTATAGAAAGGGTCGGTCCTTGCATCCAATGGTATTTTCTACCGTAGATTGCCAAGAGGATTGTTGGTTATACGAACCATGAAATTTCCAGGCTGATGGATTGATTGGTTAAGGTGGTCCCATAGCTTGGCCACCAAGATCATCTGATCTTTCGTGTTTGGACTTTTTCCTGTGGGGTCATATAAAAAGCCTAAGCTACAAGTGCTCCATTGAAATCAATATGGATCTAGTCATCAGGATTGCCATTGTTGCCAGCCATATTCGGGAAATACCTCGCATCTTCGCATTGTGCGTCAATCCCCATTCCGCAGGTGTGAAGCCTTCATTACAGCTGGCAGAAGGTCTTTTGACCAATTTCTACAAGCATGTTCTGTTAATAAAATGTTTTCTGAAGTATCTCATCTTATTATTGTGTTAATTTTTAAAATGTGACAGTGGAAAACTAACCTTTAACTTCTCAACGCTTGAGTTCCGACAATATATTCTATAATGAATATTTCTGGTATAGCTGCCTTCTATCCCCTCCTAAAGTTTTGCCCACTTGTTCAGAACCATTGACCATCAATCAGGAAATGGGCATGTTTGCAGCACGCCAGTATCAGCTCATAAAGTGCATTGACATTTGCAGCAGCGTGGACTATCAGCAGGGTGACCATTACTTCAGGCTTCCCTTGACAATGCAGCATAGAGAGAGATGGTGACTCTGTTGGGCAGTGGCACAATATCACCTTTTCAAACGAGTCCCTGTTCTATGTGCAGTATTCTGATGGCTGTATCTGGATATAAGTCTGGAGTGTCCAAGGAGACCGCATAACCTGCCTGCATTTGATATCGGTATAAGGGCCCTGGTGTTATGGTTTGGGCAACCATTGGGCACACGACAGGCACATATCTAGTTCGCATCGATGGTAATTTGAACGGAGATGGGTACAATTTAACATCTTGCATCCAGTGGTTGTGCCTATCTTCGAGGCCCCCAAACACCATGTTCCAACAAGATAATGCAAGACCAGATGCTGCATGTCATGTTCTGACCTTCCTCAATACACAGGGTATTTGATTGCTGCCTTGGCCTGCATGGGTTCCAGATCTATAACCCATTGAAAACATCTGGTCATGGGCTGCTGAGAGACTGTCCTGCCACCCCTCTCTAATGCTAATATGGTTGATGAAGTGTTGCATAGATTTGAAGCAGCATGGAATGAGTTGCCCATTTCTGTTATCCAAGCTCAGTTTAACTCCATGCGTAATGGGGTAAGGGTTGTTTTAACTGCTGTTTCTACTAATTTTGCATCCCTGTAAACCTCCAAATGTGTACAAATTGAATCATATCATACTGTTTACGTGTAATAAATATCTTTTTTGTATTTACTTTACTATGGTTTTTGCAATTTTAATGGCCAGCAGTATAATATCAATTTTAACTGCATGAGACTTTTGGTACTATTATATGTATACTTTATTTTATTGTTTCAGAGATTTGGCTGCTCGAAACTGCTTAGTTGGAGAAAACCATTTAGTGAAAGTGGCAGACTTTGGATTAGCAAGACTAATGAGAGATGACACTTACACTGCTCATGCTGGTGCAAAATTTCCCATTAAATGGACAGCTCCTGAAGGCCTGGCTTATAATAAATTTTCTACAAAATCTGATGTATGGGGTAAGTTAAACTGAAGATTTTTTTATTTAATTAAATTCTCAGAAAAAGTACATGTGTTGGCATTGCTTTGAATGGGCAGATAAGAGAAAACATAGGTGGTATTAGGTAAAACATTGTTTATAAAAATAGATTTACTGTATTTTGATGTATACTGATATGCCTTGTTTTCAAATCCAAGCCTATGTAACTGTTGCAAAAGTTTCCAGTTTTAAGTGTATAACTTAGTTTAAGTATACAAGATTTATTTGAATAAGCAATCAAAATGTTCTTAAATCTGAAAGCTTCATGTTTAGAATAATGATCATTAAAAAAAGGGGGAAGAAAAATAAAGAGACTAGAGAAAGTTTTTAGGATAATTATAAATTTACTGATGTATCACCATTTTATAACTTTTCAATTAGACGAATACTTCTAGTGGCAATATTTAAAACTGATTTCAAAGAGCAGAATTTTTTTTGTAGTTATTACAAATTTTTGTATTATGAATGAAACAATAATCATTAGGATGGTCATTTCAGTATGATTTTTTGTATCGTGATTTTTGAATGATTATATTTGCAGTTGGAACTGCTTGGCATATTTGGCTGACGAATGCTCAGTTTATTTTCTCTTCCTTAGAATAACATATCTAAGGGAGAAGAAATAAACTGATTTTTAAGATTAAATCTGTGATTAAAATGCCTATACCTATTTAAGGTCTTTTATATATTCTTACTGCTTATGAAATCATAAAAGCATGACAGATATATGTCTGCATTGGAAGTTTTAAAAGAAATTTAAGCTGCCTGTAATAGACGGTGATTTCTGCTTAGAAAAGCATATGTAATAAAGATCAATCTTTTTATCTTCTACTTTGAGAACCATTGTTGGTGTTACATACCACATTTGATTCTAGGTGCAAAAATTCCAAATGTAAAAATTTTTTTATTGTAAGGGGAAAAAGTAAAATATTAGATTGATAGTGCTAAAATATGAGGTTATTATATGTTTGTAAGGAACTAAGAGAAACAAAATCTTTGATTAAAAAATGCCTATACTTGTTCATCAAGTTATACTATTATACATATAATTTATTGGAGGCATTCAGGAAATTTAGAAAGTCCAGCATCAGTATATATCTGTGAAACATTTCTACAGAATTGGCTGGAGAAATTCTGGATATTCTTATTAAGGATTCCAGCTCTTTCTAACCTACTTAGAACTGCAAGTATGGCAAATTTTAATTTCAGAACTGGCCATGACTATTTGCAAAAACATAAACATCAGATAATGTCTGGTGGACTTTTCAGTGTACCCAATATATGACTTAACTGACATCATTGGAAAACACTTCTACATTTACCCTGATCTTAACCCATTCACGACAGGCACCTCTGTTACCGAAGCGTTCTCTTGGGACAGCGCGTTAACTGGATACGTCGTCTTGTGGGAATGGGCAATTCGCACTGCTAAGCCTAACTTTGGAAAAAAATTCGTATGTATTAAATTTATCATCCAATTGTTCCAATTTTGGGTACATTATGAGAAGAACATTCAGGTAGTTGTCAGAATTAATTTTAAACCTTTATTGTTATATTTTCCTTAAAAATTTTATAAAATATTCATTCTAGAATAATATAATTTTTTCTTTATCCCACAATTAAATATATATGGAAAATTATCCAAACAATCACAGATTTTATTTAACACAATACATAATTAAAATTAAAAAAATATTAAAACTGTCTTTCATAAAAAATCAGTGTGCAAACAATGAAAAGGAAGCAATATTTCAAAAAAGAGACAGTGTACGATATTCTTTGAAACATGGGTGTACACAAAGTCCAACAAAGTCCAATGTGCAAATGTTGCAGGAATAGAATATCAGCAAATTTGACTCATTTAGCATTTGTGTATCTTCTATGGTCAGATAGCCCTTTTGTTTTGCCATTAAAAAAGATAGAACACCAGCAATAGAACATTAAAAAAAAAAAAGTGGATCTCAATACCGGAAAAATCTAAGAGTAATAAAATAGTCTCTAATGATAGAACATCTATGCCACTATACGGTGATTAAAAAAATAAAAACAAAATAAATTAATTAAATTAAAAAGTCTTCCAGAGCATCGAGAACATGTTAATTTGTTTATATGAAATGATGCAGCATGAGCCATAAAGTTACTCAACACAACTAGCATTTGTGTATATTCTTCTACGTTCAGATACCTATCGCAAACATAAAATTAAAAAGTACCTGAAAGCATGGAGAACACGTGCATCTGTTTATATCAAATGACATAGTTAGAGACATTACATTGCTCAACACCCACCCATGAATCTCCCTCTCATTCCGAAACAAAATACCAAAAATAAAAAACTTTGCTTAAGCATGAAGGTACGTATACTTAAATTTCGATATATTTCCCCATAACAGACATACAGCTACATCTAGCAGCAACAAAAAATATTAATTAAACGTTCTATCTAAAAAGTCAAATGTGGTAAGCCCGGCCATATAGTGAATTAGATGGCAATTCAAATATGACACACCCGGCCATGAGGTAATGTTTCGCTGCTGATGCACATATGACACGCCTGTACTGAACGGGTTAAAGATATTATAGATAGTGATTCTGTAGAGGTTGTTTATCTTTGGTTTGTGTCTAGACTCTCTATTCGCTGAACTGCCAGACAAATAACTCATGATCAAAAACAAAGTCTAACATTTAGAATCAGCATAAATTTTAAAAAATTCTTAGTGTTGGACTTTGTTTTTGATTGTTATTCAGCGTGATATTCAAACTATTCAACCATAAACATATTTTCAACCATAAACAACTCATGGTTGAAAAGATGGAACTTCCACTCAATTAAAAAAATATGCATATGTATATGTGTATAGATACAGGGTGAACCAAATGTTCATTCAAACTTTAAAAATTCGTAAAAAAGGAAAAAATCACAATAAACAGAAAAAATTTTTTTATTTAGATATGTCACTAGTAGAGGGTTCTGACGACCCAAAATACAATGAACAGGACAACTGTATGCTCCATTCATTTATTCTTGCAATAACAATTGTTAAATATGACCTCCAGAACATTGTATGACACAAATAAGCTACTCGCAAAGCCTGTTACAGCTGAATGCAACATGTCAGAATGAATTGCAGAAACCTCACGACAGATAGAATCTTTGAGTTCGGCCAGTGTTGAAGAGGAAGAACAGTACATAAGTGATTTTAAATAGCCCCATAACCAGAATATGACAGGAGTGAGGTTGAATGATCGGGGAGGCCATGCTATCTTGTAGCGTCACCTGATCACTCTATCTTCAGCAGTGGTACTCGACAGGAATAGTTTGACTGGTTTGGCATAGTGTGGCAGTGTGCCATCCTGCATAAAGCTTGTTACAGATAACACGCCTCTTTGATTTAATGTGGGCATGACTTTGTCACACAGAAGATAGAGATAATGCTCAGCCATTACTGTGCACGTTTCCCAGCCAGATATGGGAATGGTTCTTCAAAGAAGAATGGTCCAACAATGAAAGATGAGGTGAAGCCACACTGGACTGTCAGCTTGACTGGATGCAGTGACGTCTTCGTGTATTCACAAGGATTCAATGTCGCCCAATATCCAAGTATTTTAGGTATTGACATCCCTGTGTAGTGTAAATTGTGCCTCATCCATCCAGAAAACGTTGAACAATCATTGATGGTCGCTTTCAATTCTTGCCATAGCCCACTCAACAAATGATTCCCTCATATCTGTGTCTCCTGGTTGTATCTCGTGCAGTGATTCCAATTTGTAGGGCTAAAGATGCAATATCTTATGGTTGATACGTCAGATTGATGAGTAAAGCACATTTAATATCCTTCCAGCTTTGTGAGCACTGCTATTCCCCATGAACGATTCCACCACTATATCATTCACAGTGTTTTCAACCACAGTAATTTGTCCCTTCATTATTTAGGGTCTTCCGCTTCATGGCCAGTCTTCCAAGGAGCCAGGTTTTCGAACCGTTTGAAAGCTTCTGTATTCCGGAACACAATATGGAGCTTCTTCGTCTTCCATCCTTTCACCTTTCGAAATTTTCGCAACACAACGGTTGCTAACTCTGTTGAAATAGAACAACTTCATCAACAACACTCACTTGAATAATAATAATAATATTCTGAAAGTGAATGAGAAATATTTGTGTTACATGGACTTTTATTGCAAGATTAATTTGCATAATTCTGCTGAATTTCTCACGTTTCAGCGCCCTCTAACAATGACATTCATAACTAAATTTTTTTCCCTCCTAAAAAAATCTGACTTTCCTTGTGAGCCCTTTGTTGCAAACTGCGCTTCTTTATTATAATTTCTTCCTTTTTTTTTGAAATTTTAATGAACTTTTAGCTCACTCTGTATATATATATATATATATATATGCATTACTTTTTATATCTTGACAAATTTTGAAGTATTTTCAAAAATGATAAACTAATGATTTTGCTCCTACATTCAAAAATTAAATGAAGAAAGAGCTGTTTCCATTTTCCCAGTATTGAGAGCATCAAAACTACACTGCAGTTCATTCATTAAATTTTCCCACCAGCGGTCGAGCAGTAAAGTCGCTGAACACTGGTAGTTCGGTCCGAGGTTCGAATCCCGCGAATGGGCTGGCTGCATGGGCGTTTTCGTGGTTTTCCCCATGTGTAACGTGTATACGAGCCAGTTTCCCTTAGAAAGTCCTCCACGAAGGCATCCCTCCCTTTAGGCAGATAGCCCTCATGTGCTTTGCCATAATTAAATACATCACATCACATTCATTACATTTTCCATAATCCATTTTCATTGAGAAATTTCAGTTTTAAGAAACAAATTTTTCTTTTCCTTCAGTTTTCTTAGATTGAGAATCAGCTGTATGTCACTTTCAAGCTCAGAACATTATTGTTTTTGCATGTGTATGAGTTCATAGTAGATTGAATCCACAAGTCTGATAATAGATTAATAAAAATTTATTCTTATCAAAAGAAATTTTTCAGAACCCAGGAATTTTCCACAGAAATACCCATACAAATGGTAAAAGTACAATTAGTAGTTACACTTCAAATTACTAAGAAGATTAAAGATGCTACAATGCAAAGCACATCTAAGGAGAAAGCTAATCCGATCTCACACTGAACTTGCAACAATAACAACAGCAACTAATTAAACAACTGAGAGGAGATGCTGTCTCTTCAGCCTTAAATATTTTTTAACCAGCCATAAGATATTTCTAGTATTTTCGGCTTCTCGAAATCACTGGAAAGCAATATAAGGGTGGGCATACGGTTATGGCTAAAAAAGTAGTCAATTACATTTATTCAATTTCAATAATATTATGATGACTTAAGGACCAAACTAAAATGTTGCCAAATTTGGTAACAAAATAAGTCCCCAAAACCATTGTCGGTTTGGCTATATCTCACCAAATTACCGAGATAACATTTACTCTATGTTAAATGCAGTTGCCCCTATATTCTTACTTTTCCAGCATAGCTTTCTCTTAAAATTTCTCGTGCAACAAAGAAAAATACAACAATTTTGCTTATAATTCTACTAAAATTGTCTATCTAAGTAAAAAATTGGTAACATTATTATTCCTCTTTTGAATGACCAGAAATTTTAAAATTAAATGCTATTAAAGTGACTAGGACATATTATATGCATTTTACTTTTATTGGCAAATACTTTTTTGTTTCTCTAAAACAAAATTGTGCTTAAATTTCTAGTGGTACATCAGCCATAATATGAAATCTGTGCAAATAATTTTGTGACGTTATTTCAAATGCACCTTGTGAAAGGAGTTCACATTAAGAACACTATATTAAACTGCTTAGGAGGCTCTTCTTAATATAAGGTAACAAAGAAGTGCATTATAACTTAACACTATATGATTTTTTTCAAAGACTTTTGTTCACAACACAGCATGTGAGATGTTAATGTTGTTATATCTAGTTTTAATTCCATTAACTACAACCGTTGCTTTTCATTGATGTGGTATATTCAGCTACTTAGCTTAACATGTTCACTATGAAATGACTCATACATGAGCCACATGGTTTCCTCAAACAGACAAACACCTGATGTATGGAACAGTGGTGGAGGCGTAGTCCCTTTATAATTTTTTAGTGAAATCCATAGCAACTGGACTTACATTAGATAGTGATATGTAACAAACCATGATTAATTGGAATTGTGGTGGAAGCATTGAAGAAAGGTATCCATTTATAATTTCTCCGTGAAGCCCCTAGCAATTGCACTTGTATTAGGTAGTGATATATAAGAAACCATGACTCTTTTTTTTTTTTTTTTCCCCACATATGATCTCAGGTTTTGACTTGTTGTTTAATCATATTAAAATTGTTAAAATAATATTAAAATCATAGTTTTGATTACAATAACCATGAATTCTCATAATGGAATTAGTTTTGGGAATTTCTATAAAAAATATAATATTGGTCTATTGAAGATGTTGCCCTTTCACACATCGATATTGAACCTAATTGATGATAGGACTTTTTTTTCCTTTTTTGGGAGGAGATGAGAAAAAAAAAGGAGGTGGACAGTTCTCTATATTCCATTCTATTGGACTGATTGTCAAAACTTGCATTTTCCATGTCTCAAAAGCATAACTTAGGATATATATCAGATTTAATTTAGCTTTGTTCTAACATAGGTATTTTGAGACAAAATTGGACCTTTTTCTGAAACAGCATACCATTTTTTTTCCATATTTCGATTGTATAACTCAAATTGTTCCTAGATATTAAATATTGTAATTTTGGTGAGAAATTTAAAAATTTATCTTGGTGCACTTTTTTCAGTTTGCACTAAGAATAATTCTCTTGGCGAACTTCTTAATTTATTGCAACCTATTTTCCTTTCCCCCTTTTTTATTGTACATGGGTGGAAAAAAGGTCATTGTTCATATTTTCAAATAATTTTAAGGAAGTGCGTAAACTACATTTGGTGTTATTATCACTTATAGCAAATATGTCAAATTTCAGAACGTGCCAGTATGTAAATTCACGTATGTCTTGGGAAATTTTGAACAAAAAACTCTCAATTTTTTCGCAGGTAGAAATACATCTACTTTAAGATGATGTTAAAAATATATAGGTTATAATTCAAATTTTTTAAAAATACAAATTTTAAAAATAAATCATGAAAAATGGGCAACTTTTATTTGGAATGAATCTGAATTTTGCAGTATGAAAGGAAGAATCAAGTAAGTTTAATAAAAAGATATAAATAAATTTATACGGAATTCAGTTAGCATAGAGGAGCTAAAATTTTGAGAACTAATTTTTAAAAAACTACTCGTGTGATTTTTACAAAAACTTAACAGTCTGGCATAATTTGAGTCGTAGAATTGAAATATGGAAAAAAATGTGTATGTTATTCCAGAAAAAATCCGATTTTATGTCAAAATACCTATGTTAGAACAATGCTGTATATAAATCTAATGTATAATCCTAACTCGTGCTTTTGAGACATAGAAAACACAAGTTAAATTTTGACAATCAGTCCAGTAGAACAAGAGATATAGAACTGTCCCCCTTTTTTTGTGCAAAGTGTACATTCTATTTAAATATATACTGTGAATCAAAGTCATTTATTAGTTAGAGAATGTATTAATTCTCATTTTTCTAATATGAATTAAATAAGCTTTAATTTTCTTAAATGTAGTTTTAATGCAGCTTTATGTAATCTTTTTCTAATTTTCCACCTTTGTAATATTTTTTCCTAGCATTTGGGATATTATTGTGGGAGATTGCTACTTATGGAATGTCGCCGTATCCAGGTGTAGATTTGACAGATGTTTATCACATGTTAGAATCAGGCTACAGGATGGAATGCCCTCCAGGTTGTCCCCCTAGAGTTTATGAGCTGATGAGACAGTGTAAGCTTTAGTTTTTTTTATTATTATTATTTCTGTGATATATTTAAGTAAATTTGTTGATTTTTGTATTTTCATGTATATAGAATGTAGAATTTTGTTTGTGTGTTTGTTAATTACAAGCAAACAAAGTATTTATTGCTATATACAGTATAAAGTTCGAAATCTGGACTCGACCGCTGCTTTGGTGATTCTGAGTTTGGAATTTTTCTGGACATTAGATCTAGTATTACCACAACAGGTAGAAATTATAAAATTTTAATTTTATGATTTCTATGAAATAGTGAAATAATTTCTATGAAATTTCTTTTAAATATGAAATAGTGGTTTATGAAAAAATGAAGCACATATGACATTACAAGAATCAAAATTTACAAAAGAAAAAGCTCAATATTTATTTTTTCTCTTTAATTCTATGGATAGGCAAAATTTCTTGTTGAGTTACAAAGTCCCATTCTTCATATTTGCCATATTGAGAATTCCCACTAAATTGTCAATCGAAATTTTTTGTTCTCTACAACCTCTTTCTTCGCTATCAATGGCAATATTTTCTAATTTAGAAACATAATGCATATTTCAGCATCCATTAGTTGACTGATTATTGAAGCATTGCCATGACAATGAAAAACTTCTATATCATTTTCATGTAGTACCATTTCTCCACAAATTCCATTTATTAGAAAATTTCGCTTTTTATTTGCAGTAGTTGAAAACCTTCAAATTTGTGGCCGTAAAGCTTAACTAGTATCTACTATACACTATTGGCAAATCAAGACTTGTCGTTCCGTAAAATTTTGTCTTTGTTTCTATCACATAGTGATGAAGTTTTAAGCTTGAATAATGTTAGTTTTGTTATTTATTATACTTATTTTCCACATATGCTTAAAACTTATCTGAATCTCAAATATATGAATTCTCTCATATACTTAAGACTTTCTCATTACTTTCTCATGAAAATTATAAAAATCTTGCTCAGCCATGTTATCCTTAAACCTCGAGTTTTGAAAAAACTGAATCTATGTCACACTTGTCAAAAATTCAGTCTCTGAATGGGTTTTACAATTCACCCATTGTGTGTAACAGTAACTTGCTTTGAAGGAAGAATATTGGAGTCATCAACTTTAGTCCTTGGTTTATGTTCATTACCATCTTTTTTTTTTTCTCTCCAAATTCATAATGTGTTGGAGCTCAGAATTCACGTGAGGCTGTATCAAAAAATGTTCAGGCTAGTTCTGTACATGGCAATAGATGGTATTCTGCATCAAGAATTCATTCTCAGTGGTTAGACAAGTTTTACTGTCAAGTTTTAATGCTGCTGAAGGAAGACATTCAGTGAAATCAATTAACCCTCTGAATGCTAAATTTATGGATCAAAATCGCTTCAAAAAGTGTGTATTATTATTATTATTCCATATTTTAAATCTATATACACTCTTAGACCACAAAAAAAACCAAAAAAAAAAAAAAAAAGATTCACCAAGAAGGAGTTATCCAAATGGGACAAAAACATGAACAGAAAAACAAATGATTACAGTTTGAGAAAAATTGGATGATTTATTGAAGTGATTGAGCTTCACAAAGTGAAAAAGTCAGTAACGCGTTCATCCACCTCTGGCCCTTTTGCAAGCAGTTATTTGTCTTGGCATCGATTGATAGAGGTTACGGATGTCCTCCTGAGGCATATCGGGCCAAATTCTGTCCAACTGGCACGTTAGATCGTCAACATCCTGAGCTGGTTAAAGCCCTGCCCATAATGCTCCTAATGTGCTCAATAGGACAGTGTGGGGGCGGGCATTATCTTGCTGAAATGTAAGCTCAGAGTGGTGTGACATGAAGGGCAACACATCAAGCCTTAGAACTTTGTCGATGTAACGCTGTGCTGTAAGGTTGCGACGGAGGACAACCAAAGGGGTCCTACTATGAAATGAAATGGCACCCCAGATGATCACACCTGTTTGTCGGCCTGTCTGCTGGAAGATAGTCAGGTTGGTATCACACTGCTGTCCGAGGCGTCTCCAGACTCGCTTTCGCTGGTCATCGGGGCTCAGTTCAAAGCGGGACTCATCACTGAAGACTTTTCTAGTCAGTGACATTCCAGTGCAACTGAGCCCGACACCACTGCAAATGGGCTTGACATTGTACAGAGGTTAATGGTAGTCAGCGCAAGGGGCGCCGTGACCTCAGCCCCTTTTCTGTGAACCGTCTATGAATGGTCCTTGCGGTCACTGAAGCACTAGTTGCATGTACAATCGATGATAATGATGCACCTCGGGCTGTGAGTGCCGCTCTGATGATTGCTCAGTCTTCATGATCTGTCATTTCTCTAGGCCTACCGATTCCTTCTTGATGCTGTGTGCACCCATGGTTCACCCATTCTTGCCAACATCATCTAAAGTGGCATCATTCCTGCTCAAATGTCGAGCTATTCGCCAATAAGACCAACCGGCTTCTTTGAGCCCAACTACTCGACCTCTCTCAAATTCTGACAACTGCGCATATCGTTCATGCACCTGTATGCGAGGCATAGTTACTGTCTACCAGAGTACACAGAATGAAATTCGTGAAGAATTTATGACCTGGAATCGTAATTTCTTCCTCTTAAATATCCTGCCAGTTGTGCGCAGTTCAGATGCGCTGTAGCGACAGCCGTTCATTTATTGGACAGCCAAAATGTAGAAGTTTTGCATTTTTCCCCATCGAAACCTGTATGCATATCAATTTGTGTCCAATTTGCTTTATATCTTCTCAGCGCATGGTTTTTTTTTTTTTTTTTTTTTTTTTTTTTTTTTTTTTGTCTAAGAGTATATTGGAGAATTGAAAAATGAACTTTTTCTTTCTAGAAAATACTTCTTATATAGATTTTTATCACGAGAAACTAAAGTTGCCAGGAAAACCGATTTCATAAGTTATCACAAAAAAATTTTTTTAATAAATTTCAGTCAAATTACAGTTTATTTCTATTTATTGCATAATATAAAAAAGCAAAATGTATAAAATTTAAGAAAATATAAAGCACTGAGGAAAAGTTTAGTATGATAGTGTTCAAAACAGACTTCAAGTCAGAGTCCAACTTCACAGTTTTTGCACCAGATTCAATAAATCTAAATAATAATTCAATAATTTAATTAAATATACAAGATAATCACTGAACGTTTTCTAGCAGCCGTTTCTGTAAGAAAAAAGCGGCAAAAAGTGAAGTTTGACCGGTAATACCACGTGGCTTCAAATGCTACAATTTAGTGGACAACTAACAATATCTGTTGGCTAAAACATAAACTAAATGTCTAATACTGTATATAATTTATTTCAATGGTTAAACAGGGAAAAAACGGGATGCATTCCTCATTAAAGGAAGAAAAACACATGCCCGTGGAAATCGTGCAGAGTTCGTAGCGGTCCTTATAAGTGCTTATAAGTCCTTATATTTGAAAATAAAATATAAAGGCCCTTATAGGTGCTTACTTTTTCTTTAAAGCCCCCCGCCCCCCCCTTTTTTTTTTTTTTTTTTTTTTTTTTTTAATGAACGCGCTATTTTTCCCCGTACCAAAGCCGAAACGAAATAAACAACATTTCTTCCTAATATGGAATGTCAGATGGTGAATCATACTCCCGGAAATAGCTTTTCCCCCTTTCTCTGCATTAGCATAACCTTTGGTGTGCACGAAGAGTACAGACAGGTGCCCGTCGTTCTATTGGTCAAAAAATTGCAAAAGCAGTAGAAAATTCCGGTGCATTCGGCATTCTTTTCCTCCCACCCAAATACTACACTCGTTTGAATTTCAAGTTCTTTATAATTTGCATTCTTGTTCCGCTTGGTCAGTTCATATTCGTGTTTATTATGATTGTTATGCTTATATTATGAGCATATGTATGAATGTTTATAATAACATAGTTGCAGTAACTGCTGAAGTATAATAAACTTCCAAAAATGGTTAGCTTAGTTAAATTAGCTTTCTAAGGAATAATATTCGGAATGGCTTAAATAAAGGGAAAGTAATCGAATAGTCAAAATAATTTCATTTTTTTGGCCAATGCATTATACAGTACGAAGATTGGGAGGTTCTCCCCTTTCTCCAGAAAATCTCGAATATTGAAACCATTGCAGTTCGCTGCAAAACAAGCAACGGACTTTTTTTTTTTTTTTTTTTTTTTTTGTGTGTGTGTGTGTGTGTGTCACTTTCCAATCTGGATTGAATAGGATTAAAAGTTCTGCAGTCTACCAACCCAAGCGAAAAATTATTCTGTTCCGGAAATTTAACACCGTCTGTTGAAAATTAGAATTAAAAACACCCCAGTTATTTAGTTCTTTATTCTCCCAATACCGGCAGCTGTTGATTCCGATTGCATAATATCACGCAGGGAAGAATTACGGCGCACGTATTGCGCAATAACGTTTGCAATATTTTGCAGAGATAAACAAATCTCGGACAGAATATCAAAATTAATTATGAACACTTAAAAGAGTTTTACTCTGCTTGCTAAGCAGAATATTTTTCAGTTCCATTGGTTTATTTTTATATGATACACATATCGAAATGTCAAAAGCATTTATTTAGCGGAAAACTACAGTCTACCCCTCCGCTCCTCTTTTTCAAGTTATGCTCGACTGTCCAAATATTCGCCAATTTCCAAGTATGCGGGTTAGTTAAGGATAATTGCATGAAGCAAATTTCTGTCTTCTGATTTCAGAAATGTTCCTCTTTTTTACTTAAATTAATTTGCTTGCAATATCTGTTAAGGGAAAACTGATATACAATGAAAATTTTTAAATTATTTAAATATCAATATGAGTGGAAAAATAAATTGTATTTATTATTAGGTTCCAAGCGAATACAATAAATATGCCGTATTATTATTTATTTTCTCTATTTTGAACTGAAATTTCATCATTTAATCTTGTAATATAGTTTAATTCTGCATAGTTTTTTTTCTCTCATTGTGAACTAGTTCTGTAAATTGAACGGTTATTTAAAATTAAAAAAAAAAAGTAATTATTTTCCATGGTTGAGGTAATGCTTATTCTCTTAATAAATACGGCATTTCTCATATTTTAAATTACAAGTCTAATTTTTAAGGTTATGCAGTTGTGTTTAATGTAATTAGACAGGTGCTTATTTTTTTTTTCTTAAAATGTACTTGAAAAGTGCTTATAGGTGCTTATTTTTTTCACTAAAATGTGGCTATGAACCCTGTCGTGGGATGAGCAGATTTTGCTACATTTGAGTTGCCCATGGAAATCGCGGGATGAACAGCTAGAGGATTAAAGCTCTGGTGTGTGAAAAACTGTGCTGCATGATGGCAATGTTTCCTCTTTCCTCACACATGAGTTTTGTAGTGTCTTACTCAATATTCAGATTCTGTATGAGTCATAATGAATTGTTTACATTGGATACATTTTAGGATAATGTATCAAATTATTTTGCTACTTTGCAAAATTTATAATGTTCTTGAATATGATTCCTTAATATCTGAAACTGTAGTTGTCCAAGCTCATTATTTTTATATGGGATAAGCATATGCACAGTTTGTTATGTGATAAGCATATGCACAGTTTGTGCTTTCATAGCAGTATTATTGATAAGCAAAAAAAATTCTCATATCCTTTCTGCTGAAGGTCTGTGTTCTCATTTTCATTAATCTCTTTCTGTCAGGTACTGAATGAAGAAGGGTGAAATCCTGTGTAAGATTTCTCTAGTTCCTACATTTATATTTGTTTTGATTATGCTTTTTCTGATTTCTTAAGGTATGCCTTCATGATTTTAGACAAGTTTGGATTTTGGTCATTCTTCATTTTTCTTTACATGTGTAAGGCTGCTCATCAGCTAATTCCCAAAAGCCTCTTCATGAAACGTCAACTGGATTATTTATTCCAGATACATCTTTCCATGCATTTTAGGTATATCAATTTTCTAATTTCCTTTTTTTACTCCCTTTTGGATCCATGCGAAAATAGTTGCTGAATCTGATCAAGTTGTCCAATCCATCTGTCTGTTCAGTTTCTACTTCAGATTTTTAAATGTTTACTCACTTAACATTTGTTTGATGTTTTTACTAGTTTTACTTACAACTATTCTTCCCTAATAATATTCGTAGACATATAAATAATATTCTTAGGCAAATAAAATTCAACAAGGAGGTTTAGTACAGTTGGATACTTATCAGACCTTGCACCTTATGTTTCAAATGCTCAAACATAAGTTTCAGTTGTATTGTACACTTTTGCATATATTCAAAAATATTAGTCATTCAAAAATATTAGTCATAATATTTTTAAGTACACAGACATGCATCTTTAAATGTATCCAGACAATTAAAGTCTTATGTATGTCTATATAAAAAAATTGGCTTTAAAATTCATCACATATTCAATTCGAAATAAATCATATGCAGAAACCAAAAAACCAAATGAATGGTAGTAAACCACAAGAAATAGGAGAACAAAATATGCTAAAACCAAAAACTAAATATGAAATTTACATCTTTCACTGCATCATCATCAGGGGGTTGGTGCAATGAAAGAAGAAAATAAAACAGCCTGTTTTCTGGTCTGAAAAAATACACAAAATTTAAAATTTGAAAGTAGTCTTAGAAAACAATAAAGTTAATCTCTATCTTTATCAGTCCGAACCCTACTTACTAAAACTTACAAGCTGGGTTTAAAAAGAAAAGCTTAAATAAGTAAGCAATAAAGCTTAAAGAATAAATGAAAATTTGATCAAAAAATAAAATTATTTCTGATTGTAAGTTTTCTTAAAATCTGTAACACAAGAGCAATAAGATTTTTCACTTGAAAACATTTATTGATGTATTATAAATTATTAAAATTTTTCATTTAAAAATTTTATTGCTTTTATGTTACATATTTTTAAGGATGTGTTTCCTCTATTTTTATTTTTTATAAAATTTTCATTTATTTCATTAATTTTTCATATGTTGTTTTACCTCTGTTTATATATATATATATATATATATATTATATATATATATATATTTGAACTCTTCTAGTAAAATTGTAAATTTTTATTTTCTAAGATTTACTGCTTGTTTATGATTTTTTTTTTCTTTTTTACCCCCTGACCTGTATGTTTTAAAAATTTGCATATGGTTTTGTTTTCAAAAATTCGATTATTATTTTTGCAAGATTTGTTTTTGGACTCGATCTATTTAAAATAACTGTATAAATTGGTCTATATTTCAATTGCTGTACTTTTTAAATTTTTTGCACTGTTTGCTTTGGGCTGTAGAGGTTGGACTAAGAAAGACACATATTACTTTTATTATTTTTTTAAAACTATTTTTAAATTTTAAACTTTAATTTATAGCTTTGTAGATTAAGAAACAGGCTGTATTATTTATTTTTTCTTTCGTTGTACCAACACCCTGATGACATTGTGGCAAAAGTAATGTAAATTTCATTTTCAGCACAGGATTCTTAATAATCCTTCCCTCTTTTTGTTTATGTTTGTATATATATATATAAAGGACATTAGGTATTTTTTAAATTATATTCAAGAAAACATCACTTACTTATGTCCTTCTTTGGAATTTTAGGGATTCATGATCAAACTCTTGGCTATTTGGTTGGTATCTTTATCATGTAACTGGCAGAGACAAACTTATTATTTAAATAAGTAATATCTTAAATAATAGAGAAAATGAGAGAAAGATTTTAAACTGTTAATCAAAACAAATAAAATTTCAACATTTCATTTTTTAGGTTGGCACTGGGAACCTTCAGAAAGACCAACATTTAAAGACATTCATTTAACACTTGAAACTATGTTTCAAAATTCTAGTATAACTGAAGGTATGCTGCCTCACATTTTTCTCTTTATAATTTTTCATTTACTTATCCATTTAGTTTCATGGCAATAATATAAGAATTTTCTTTTCCTCATTTATAAGTTGTATATTTATGGAACCTTATTTTATATAGTTTTTAAGAGTTATTTCCTTAAAATTGTTACAACTATAAAATGATTGAATATCAGTTGGCTTTATTACTGTAATATATTATCTAAACTTTGTAGTTGTAGGTTACAAATATTTTAATACCTTTAGCTATTTATTAAATATTTGAGGAATTTGCTATTTTGCTATGATTCCTAATGATCAATTTCTTCTCGCTTTAAGACTCAGTTCAAATATTTAAAAATATCTTTTTAATTGTAGTAAGTGTGTGAAAGGCCGTTAGAAATTACTTTGAAAGTATACTGTAGACATAGCTGGAAGTATTCATTTGGCTAAGATTTTTATAGGGTGTATTTTTTAATATATTCACACCTTGAATTGCATATGAAGATGGAATTTTTTTATAGGTGAATTTAAATTTGGAAATATTTTTTTGTGTGGATAGTATTTTGGTAAGGTGAATTTGCATTGAATTCAAAAGGTTACACCCCCTCCCCCCATGTTTTTAATTAAATATACAAACAGAATTTCTTTCTAGTCGACCTAGTTTAATTCTAGAAATATTATTTAATTGGCTAGACTTTTTATGGGGTGAATATACCTTCATTACCATTTAGATCTTGGACTACATATACAAACAAATTTCTTTTTAAGTGATGTAATTTAAACCTGGAAATATTCACTATTTGACTAGGGTTTTGATGGGGGGGGAGGAGAAACCATCTTGAAATTTAGGTATGAAGAAAATCAGTTTGAAATATTCCAGTAACTGGTCCTTCTTGTGAAGAATCCATATTCTGAATTACCTAATTTAATGCTGCAGAAATCTCTCAAATTGAAAAACCAGATGTATTTTTTTAAAGGATATTTTGTTCAAAACTTAGCAATTTAACAACTAGATTAAACATGTTGAGGTAAATAGTACATTTTGTACTTTATACACTAAGAAAAGTCTCAGTGTATGCTTAATGTCTCAGTGTATGCTTAATGTCTCAGTCCATAACCAGATCAAGAACAGTCTATGTTTCTTTTTATCTCCCACTCTTCACCTCTCAAAAAACAATGAGTGGTGCATCAAAGTCTTCAATATATAAAACCTTATTTTTTGGTCATTCAGATTGACTGGGAGGAGAGTTCCTATGGAGCTTGGCCTATTCTTTTCATAAGAATGAAATCTGTTATCTATAAGTAGATACTGTAATGTTACAGCACTGACAGACAGTCATGGAAGTTGTTAACAGTATATTGTAGGTAATATCAGGCTTTTAGTGTCTACTGACTGACATCTGTTTCTGTTGGCAACTTCCAGTTTTCACCTAATATCATTCAAGTAGGATCTTCTCAAGAATTTACTGTATTATAATTTACTTTTGTTGTTATGTATCTGCAGACCCTAGTTTGAAAACTACTCTTTTATTTTTAATTTTGTTATATTATATGGATTTAAGTGAAGCATAGTATAGATCTAAATGATTTATTCAACCTTTTCAGAGGTTGAAAAACAATTGGAACAGCAGACTCCTCCATCAACTTTTAAAAAACATGGTGGTAGTAGTTCAAATATCCAAGCTTTAGCTACAGACGAAAATGACCAGGGTAAGAATTTTATTTTTACTTACAGTTTTGTAAAAATTTAGGAGAAGGAATAGTTTTTCGAATAAAAATTTGAATAAATTCTTTTCATCTGCTTCAAAAACTTTGCTTAGATTATAAAATATTTTTGTACATTAATTCATGATGAATAAATTTCTCTGTGTGAAATTTCTCATTTTAGTATTCAGTAGTGATTTTATTTATTTATTAATTTTTAAGGCTTGATTATGATTTAGTTGATTAAAGACTATATAATATTACATGTATCTCTCTTTCTCTCTGTTTCCATTCTAAGGCACATCTCTGATTTCAGCATTGGCAAGACAAAACATGTTGATTTTAAAAAATTAAAATGTATTAAATGAATATTTTTATTGTAATAAAATTCAATTTATTGATAACAATATAATGCAAAATAGCTATGCTGTTTTTCATCTTCTTTTTGTAACAGTGTCAAAATCTAATTCTTTAAAGTGATTTTGAAGAATTCAGATTCTAATGATATGCTTTCAGAACCATTAATGCAAAGTAGATTGTAATATTAATACATGTGATAATACCATTGATATTTACATCTATTATTTGCATTGATATCATTTACAAGGTGTAGCTATTAATTTCCAGGACTGCTCTAATAACACCAGAACAGATGATGTCAAAAATGTGACCTTTTAATATGTTTCGAAGGAATCCCCATCTGCCATAATACACTTCTGTGCTCGGCTGTATAAGTTGTGGCAACAACTTTTAAAGTCCTCTTTCGGAAGGCTCTTCAATGTCGACGTCACATTCTTCTTGATGTCTTCAACATCCACAAAGCATGTTCCTTTGATCGCAGTTTTGAGTTTAGGAATGTTCGGGCTTGACTTCTTTTTGTTTCCCAAACTCAAAACTGTGATCAAAGGAACACGCTTTGGGGATGTTGAAGACATCAAGAAGAGCGTGACGTCGAGATTGAAGAGCCTTCCAAAAGAGGACTTTACAAGTTGTTTCAACAACTTATACGGCCGAGCACAAAAGTGTGTTACGGCCAGTGGAGATTACTTCGAAACATATTAAGTTTTTCTGATCATCTGTTCTGGTGTTATTTTAGCAGACCTGAAAATTAATAGCCACACCTTGTATTATTTGCATTAATAGAGTCTTCATCACATTTAGAGTAATATTTTTCTTTTTAACTCTCTTTATTGTAATTACTGCAAAATTAATCTCTTGAGCCTATGATAATACTGGTGAGCAACTTTTTCAAATGAACAAACAGAATGTGTACGAAGAGTTTTGTACTATGTTAAAAAATTTTATGGGGACACTGATACTAAATACATGATTGATTTCAAGATAGACCCTATTTTTACAAATGTTTACATGAGGAGTAACTGTGATTCTTAACATGGATGAAATGAAGTACATGCACTACTACATTTTGCTTTTTTTTATATGCAGTTAGTTCAGTATGTACCAGAAGAATGCAAGCTTGTAGTTATTTTTCTTTCCACTAAAATTATATTCATTATTACTACTTCTAAAAATAATGTGGCTGAATATGCTTAAAACATTTTTAGGATCCTTGACTTGAAATGAAAAAATGAAATGTTTTGTAAATGACTATAGTTGAAGAATTACTCATTTTATGAAAGCTATCATTGCCAAATAAAATACAAAACCTAAATTCACTTGATGAACTTTAGAAGTCAAAACTTTTATTCAGAATTAATGCGATGAATCAAAATATTGAAAGATTTAAGTTACTACATAGTGGAATTTGTGCAAGTATGTTTCAGTAATTTAACTTATTTTATTTATTTTTCCTTAACAGCACAAATTCATCTATTATTTTACAGAAAACTATAGGTGTGCATTTTAAAATGGTATTGGTTTTAATACTCTAGCAAATCTGTATATTTAAATACAAGATAACATTAGTTATGACCATTTTGTGACTGACTATACATTTTTGAGATATCCATATAGATTAATGTTAAATCTGTATATTTAAATACAAGATAACATTAGTTATGACCATTTTGTGACTGACTCTACATTTTTGAGATATCCACATAGATTAATGTTAAATCAATTAAAAAAAGTATTTGCTGTAATATATATTATTTTTAATGCAGTGTTTCACATTCAAATGCATTTAACATTAGTGTTCATATTTTTAATACAGTGTTTAATTGCGAAACATTTCATTGTTTTCACATATGTTGAATTTCACACAAATTTTATATTCTTGTATTGCCAAGAAATAATACATAAAAGAATAGCCTTTATGATAAACTAAGAAGTAAAGTTTGTTAAAAGCCACAGCATAACAAAAGAATTCAATTCCTAAATTTAAAAAAAGAGGGGAGGGCTGGAAATGTTTCTAAAAAAATGTCTTCTCATTTTTTGTATTGTTTATATATTGGTTGGGGAGGGGGAAACATGTTCTTCATTTGAACATTGATAATCAAAAGCTACTTATATAATCTTCACTGAATATATATACTGATTTTACTCAGTATGCAACTTTGAAAATGTTTCTTTTAGACTAGCCCCTATATTTTAGTTAGAATAATATTTCTTGTGATTTACATGACTAAGTAGCACTTTTTATGTGTAACTTAGCCATGTGAAGTACAGAACATGTTATTATTTCCACACGTGTTTCTGTGTGTAACTCATTTGCAGTTCATTGGAAAAACGAAATTTATTATATATTCTTTGCTCATGCACATTTAGCATCTGGAAATTTCCCAGAGCAAAGCTTTTTATTCATCAAAAGAGAATTTATTTGCGAATTTTTAAATAGAAATAAGAAACATATTGTTATCAAATGTCAGTGAAAGTCGTAACTTCTGAAAATATTTTGTAAGCAATATCTTGCACATATATATACACTGGTTTCCAAAAATTAAGGAAAAATCACAAAAATAAATCATTCAAAAATAAGCCAATCTGTATACAATTTGAATATGTTATGAAATAAGAGTTGCTGAATAAAACGGCAGCATGCAAATTAGTGGTGCTGCAATCAGAATGTGTCATCTGCGAGGAGCATGGAATTGCATGTTTGAGAGCAAGCCTGCAAATTTCATTGTGATAAGAAATCTGGGATAGCCAATTTGTAATAATGACCTCCAGGCGTCATTTGCCTGAAGAACTGCGACGTAGAGCTGTTGGGAGACAAAAGGCAGGCCAAAATCACACAGAAGTTGCCAGACGGGTAAATGTGAGTTCTGTGATTCACAGACTTTGGCAACAATTTCTAACCACAAATTCAACATTGAGGATTTTAGCCAAGTCAGTCAACCGCAACGACAAGCGCTGATGACCGATATTTGTTGTTATAGGCATAGAGGGATTATAGAACCACAACTCAAACTCATCTCAAATCTTTCCATATTGCAGCCATAATTGTCTGGTAATTTCTTTTCGTGTTATTTTATAACTTACTGTGTGTTGTAAGGTATACTATGGGTCAGTTTCATTCTACATGTAACTTTTTGAGTAGTCATCATTTTTGTGACTTTTCCTTGATTAATGATAACCAATGTATATTTTAAATAAATCATTCTAGATTATTATTATATATATATATATATTCAATATTGAGTTGAATGTTGAATATATATATATTCAATATATATATATATAATATTGTTATTTGTAATTGAAAACTGCATTTTGTGTATTATCCAACTGATATGTGTACTAATATTGGATAATAATTGCAAATATTGAAGTAATGATTATATTTCCAAAATACAGGAGATTGAAAATACTTATAATAGCATACAAATGAAAATACTTATAATTGCATACAATAATTTATACATGTAAAAAAAAAATAACAGATTGATAATATTACACTTGCATTACTTCATATATTATGGCTTTATTTTCCTGTAACCTCTAATTTAACTGACTTATCTTAAAGTAAAAATAAATGTTTGTGTTTTAATGTATATCCAGTGTAAGAAGAATATTCTTATGAAAAGGGTAAAATACTATATTAATGGTAATTCATTACTGTATATTTAAAGTATTTTAAAATTCTGAACTTTTATTATTGTTTGGTGAAGAAAAATAAATATTTAATATACTTTTATATGTATACATATTAGCTGAAATTTCACGTTAAGGAAATAACTCATATGTTAAACTATGAATGTGGTTCTTAATTGTTTTTAATGTTAATTAATATAAAACAAAATTAATACTTGCTACCCTAACATGGTGCAGTCATTGCCCTCTCCCTAACATGGTGCAGTCATTGTTTGGTAAATCAAAAGTGTGCTGCTTCTTACTACATGATTTTGCTTGACATTAATTAAAAATGTCTTTTAGCTGGTTAGGTATAATAAATTTAACAAAAAAAGGTTGAGGAATGTTTCAGATTTCCATATGCTTATTTTTTAGGTTCTCATAGTTTTTACTTGGGGGTGGGGAGGGATTCCAAGCTGATGTGCTTTTTAAAGTTGGTGGTAATTTATTATTTGGGAAGTTACTTGTATTCATTCATATATTAATCATTTTTAGGTTATTACAAATTTGTGTGTATTGGTTTAAAATAATTTCTTAGTCGTGTCTGTTCATTATTATGAAATGAATTTTTTTTTACCTCTATTTAATACTTTTTAGGATTACACATTTGTCTGTTAAGACAGTTGACTGATAAGCTTTGAAAAAGTAAAGAGAATTTCAAGATTCTTTGAAATATATGTCTTACTGTCAAATAGCTGTTATTTTATATGACAAATATTAAATTAAGCATTTAGTTTTTTTTTTAATATATATATTTATTATTTTAACATTGTAGTATAGGTATTGTAGTGCTCAAGCACGTAATGTTTAGTATAAATGGTTATTTTGCCCCACTAAATACAAAAGTTCTCTTCAGTTTAGCTGAAAATTTCAGTTGATGAATTATCACTTTGTTTTAAAAGTAACAATATATATATATATATATTTTTTTTTTAAAGGAAACCGTGGCAGTACTCAATCAAAGCAGACAGTAGTTCCTGTTGCTAAATCCACCATTGTTCAGTTAAGGCGTTCTGGACCTCGTAGTAAAACAGCTCCTGTGCCTCCAAAAAGAACAAGTTCCTTCCGTGATAGCACTTATCAAGATAAACCTAATGGAGAAGATGGGTCTGAAGGATCTAAAGAAGCAGTCAATGGATTAGAAAAAGTTTTTGAAAATATTAACAAAGAACTCCAAGATTTAAATAGTAGTGCTGGTGAAACAGAAAGTGATGTTCAAGAAAGAACTCCTGACACTGAAGATTCTGAAAGTCATACTGCAACTTCAGCTTTGAGTGTTCCAAATGCTATTCAAAATTCATCACAACAGAAACTGAAAAAGACTAGAACATACCCTCCTAATATTCAACAGCGAATGAAAGATAATGCTCAAACAAATAATAAGACACAGCCCAAAAAAGTCCAAATCGCAGCTTTAGAAGTTCAAAATGTGAAAAGAGCAATAAATCGATATGGGACTTTGCCAAAAGGAGCTAGAATAGGTGCTTATTTGGAATCATTAAGGCAGCATGGTCTTCATGCTGGCTCGCAGCCTGAACCTGTCTTAGAATCTGATTTAGATGTATTAAAAGAAGTGAGCTCAGATATGATGTATTCACATACTATGGAAGCTGGTAGTCATCAGGGTAACTGTGCTACCTTAACAACAACAAATATCAATAATGCGCAATTAGCAAACCTGCGTCAGAATGCTGATATGTCTAGATATTTTTCTCATGGTGTTTTACAGAGGCAAAAGTCTGATTTAACACATACAAAATCAAGTGAAATTTTTGAAACTGGATCTATTCCTGAAACTCACCACTTAGCTGTGAAACCTGTTCCTTCTCCTAGGCTACCGCGAAACAAAAAAGGTGATCGTTACGCATTAAAAACTGGTAAATCTGAAGATAATAGCAAAAGTGCAAAAGAGCTTAAAGATGCAGCTGGAGAGAGTGCTGCACTTTTTGGTGTTAATTTGAAACACAGGGATTCTGTTGATGATGAAAGGCTTATTTCTAATCAGTCTCCTCCACCATTTGGATGTGGTTTAGTTCGTCGGACATTAAAAAAGCGCCCCAAGGATCGGCCTCCTAGTCCGCCCAAGCATACACTTGTCAAAAGTGGTTCAATGGATGAGCAGCTTGGGCGAAACAATGAAAAATCTCCAATGTCTAATTCTGCTTCAGATCATATTCAAAGCCCTTCTGCATCTTCCTTAGGTTCGAATGCTAATAGTCCTCAACAAACAAAAGAGCCAAAAGCCTGCACTGATTTTCTTCCTTCAGGTGCAGTTGAACCATCATCTGAATCTAACACCACTGATAATCCTCCAAGTGCTGCAGATTTTCGACAAAATCTAAAACCAATATCTAATTCCAGGTACAAGGCAACTCCTGCACCCACTCCTCCAGCAAACCCAGCAGCTCAGTTAGTGTCAGAACTCTTTGAGAGCTTGAAAATGAAAGCTCGCAAACGAGCTGTAGAAATGGGTAATACTTCTGCTCAAACTGTTGAGACTTCTCAAAATAATAATGAAGGTGCCATAACCAAAACATCACCAATTGATCAGTCTCCGAAAATTGAACTACAAGTTACTAAAGAAAAGTCGCCTCTCGAAAATAACCCATGTGATAGCATAGAAACTGCCAGTATTACCACAAATCATGTATCTGAAAATCATATAGATGTGGATAAAAAAAGAAACATATATTCAAAGCCTGTGTTAGAAAGGATGTGTGCCTCTCTTGAAGAAGACAAACTTAAAGATCATATTACCCCTCCTGTACAAAGAACAAGTGTCCTCTCTGATGGAGAAATTAAGCATGAGACTACTGAAGTGTCAAATCCAGATAAAACCAGTGTTGTAGAAGGTGAAGATGAGAATAAAAGGCACAGTTCTGGTAGCATAAGCAGCTTAAAAAAGTTGTGGGAGAAAGAATCTGGTGGCCACAGTTTCGAAAAGCCACCTGAAGGTATTAAAAAGATATGTCCCAAAATCATGACTCAGCAGCTTGAATCAAGAATGAAAAGAAGTTTTGAAATGCCAGATACACATGATCAAAAAATTAGTAGTACTCAGTCTGATTCTGGAGAGACAGAGAAAAGCTCTAGAAATAATTTAGTTTCTTGGAAAAGTTCCCCTCCTTTGCAAATAAAATCAAATTCTAATCACATTAAAGAACCATTACTCATTTGTGATGTCAAAAAAGAGGATTTAAAGCAAAGTGATAATGCTTCTCAATTAACAAGATGTGAATCTTCCGAGAATGCAAATGATTCAGTTATACAAATTGGAAGTCTTTCAAAACCTCAGGTACCACAGAAACCACCTGTAAAGAGTTGTCGACCACTTGTACCAGTGACACCTGCTACAAAACCGGTAAAACCTGTTTTAAAGCCTCAGCTATTCCCCAGGAGTGTTGTAAAAGGCCTTGACAGCCCAACATCTCAGTCTGCTCCTGATCAGCCATCAAGGGAAAAGTCCCTTGAGAAAAATGAAAATGAAGATAATTCTAAGTCTGAACTTGCGAACACCAAAGCTTCTATCATAGAAATTTCAAATGCTTTAGAAAACAATATTGTAGGACTTAGGAATGCTACTAGTATTAGCAGCATGAGTATCATTCAATTAACTGATAAAGTTCAGCTATTTCGTACATCTTGTTCTGGTTATGCAGAATATATACCTCCCCATGGACGATTTCGTTTTCGTGAACTTCTTTCTCGCCTGGAAAACCAAGGTGAGCAACTGAGGACATGCAATAGTAATAACAGTAGTGATAGTGCAAAGTTACTTTCAGACTTACAAAATACAGTACGAGATCTTGTGAATGTTGTACAGCGATGATTATTCTCTTTGTACAGTACTGCCTTTGTTTACTCTATCATCACATAGCGCATTTGATGCTGACGAGTAATGCGGCTTGAAAGTTTTCTAGTCGTGTATCTATTTGAACAAACTTGAAACCTGGTGTAACTCCTTGTCAGAACTGTGTGCCTGAGCAAATCTGTCAATTTGTTTGAAATGACTTGTAATAACTTGTAGAAAAATACATTTGACTTTTTATACCTCATTTTTACTTCTAAAATATTATGTTGAATCTTTTATATTCTGCTAAATATATGTGAAGAGACTCATATTTCGTAAGAAGTTATAGTGTATCACTAAATTTTTGGCACTTTATATTCTTCTGTTACAAAGTGAAAGATAAAAGTTTATAAGATTTTACTTAACATGATTGATGGCAGAACTTTGGGTGCAAGTTAATTTTCGAGGAAGTTTTGTGAAAGATGGAGGTAAATTAAATAGAGTTCTTGAAAATTATTTTCAATTTAAAAAAATGCATATTTGCATTCTTTAATTTTCTCCAATCATGTTTATTTAATTATTTTTTCCCTTTTGAAATAACATGTAAGAGAAAAACTCCATAAGCATTCTTTTTCAAGTGCCATGAATTTTACAATGGTACATTTACAACATTTTAGAATTTGTCTTCTCTAACATATGTTCATTTATTTATTTTATTTTAACAAAGATGCAGTTTCAATTTTGTTTCTCACATTTATATAGCAATAATTTATAGAATACGATAAATTAATTTTAAAATTTTGAAATTTCTAAATGATTTTTAAATGTTGGGGTTTAAAATGTGTGCTATTTATTTAAATGCAGTTATATCATAAAATGTGTTTCAACAGAAAATTAATAATTATGCAATGAAATTTAAATTTTAGAAAAATTAATTTCAGTGTAATATATACATTTACTAATGATGCAATATTCACTTTACATACCAAATGAATTCTAAAAATGTAAAGTATGTAATAAATCTAGAAGCTTTTTTTATTGTGAAAAAGATTGTCTGATATTTCATGAATAGTTATTTATGTGTTGTTTGCTTTTTTTCTTTAATGAAAAGGAATTGGAAAAAAAATTTTTTTTTAAGATAAATATTTATTTATAATTAATTTTCCTTGTTTGTGCTGCAAATTTCAAAGGAAAGCTTACTTTCCATGTATCTTTCTTTGTACATAAGTCTACTTGTGAATATGTATTATATTATTTCTGTAAATTACCTTTCAAGACGTGTACTAAAGTTTACTATAATTTTTATTAGAGTTTTTAGAAAATGTGATAGGTTGTTTGCTTCCTAATTCAGTATTGTATTTGTGCGATTTTTCTTCATTTTTTTCCTTGCTATTTAAAATGAAATTATAACTCCACGTTCTTTTAAACAGTATTCTTTTTAAGTATTGAGTTATGCATTTGAATAGGAAATGGGTTGTCAGAGAGTTTAAAAAAATTAAATGCAGAAGATTAAATAAGTTTTTAAATGATTTTTATATTGTTCTTTTAATCCATTAATGTTTGAAATTTTGAATATAGTTTCTTTGCAATAAAATGAGAAAATTTCTATTTTAAATTTTAGTGATGGTTAATGAAAATTTTAATTTTGAATATCTGTCATTTGACCTTCTCAAATTGTGAGGGGCACAGCCCCCATTCTTTTTAAACTCTTAAATGAACTTTTATTCGACATACAGAACTCTACTTCTATTGCTATAGAAGTAATTCTGAAATTATAATAACCTTAAATAATGCTTACTTTCTCTGGTGACTGCAGAAGCTAGCATATTGTTCTCTAAATTATAATAGTTTAATTTATAAGCACAATTTTTATAAAATGATCTGAATTTCAGTATACTGGATAGTTGTTGTGAGCTTTGAGATCAATAAACTAGTCATATGACTAGCTAATAATTGATTTCTTCAACATGTGTCAGTATCACATCAAACTACTACATTGCATTTAGTTTCTACATTGCAATTGGGTCTATACTTCTTTAATCAAAAATAAAATTTTTTGTTCAAGAATGTCATCCTAGGCATTTCAGTTTTCATAATCTAAGTTACAGTGTAGTTACTTCTTTATTTAAATATCATGTTAATTTCTAAATTATGCCTTGCCTTCTCTACTTGCTGAGCTGTACTGTTTCAGAAAAAGTTAATTAATAATAAATCTGCATTTATTATTTGGTAGTGTTTGAAAAGGAGCATCCTTTACCACAATCCCATATACATATGTAATAAAAGTATTTAATTGGGATTGTTATTTTATTGGTATTTATAGGAATTGTATTTTTGGCAGGGGGCATATAATCTCGAGAGTTGATATCTACATGTTTATTCCATAATTTGTTATAATTTTAAAGCAGTTTGAAATTTATGGGACTTAGATTGTTCAAAAGTTCATATGTTTAACAAAAAAAAAAAAAAAAAAAAAAAAAAAAAAAATTGCTGTATATAGGTTTTCTAAAATTTCTAGCTCATCAAATTTGCCATTTAATTTTAAAAAGTTTAAATTGTTTTTACATAATTACCTCTTCATGATTATTCCTTACTTGTATTAATTATTTAATTGAATAGGGAGAAAAATGAAACTGCTTGGAGACTACCTGTTGCCAGTACTTCTTTTCACTTTTCATATGCAACAATTTTCTTGATGTGGAAAAAAAAAAAAATTCTTGATATATTTTTATTTCTCAACATTGAAATATTTAAAAATACAGTATTTTTTCTAGGCATAGTAAAGTAGGACTATTTTAAAATACTTAAAATTTTCAAAGCATAATTTTGATAATGAAAAAAAAAATTGCAGTAATTTTTATGAATAAAATGTTTGCAAAATGAAGGACATTTTACTTGAGATCTGCTTTTGCTGCAGGAAGAGTAATAATTGCTTACAGTTATTAAAAAAAAAGGAGGAAAATCTCTCTATATTTTATAAGAATTAAAATGCATTTACAGTGGCAAAGTTTATTTTTAGAACAAATGCTAATATAATTTAATCTTTATTATAGTCTTAATTAAAATTATTTCATTCTAATAAATAGGCAAGGATGTTATTCAAGTCCTTAATTGAATGAGATAAGTTTTTCTTTTTCCTTATCAATTAACAATAAATTTAAAAGTATTAAAATGTTATTGCTGTTAATTTGAATGTAAAAAATAATTGGATTTTGGAATGAAACAATTATATTTTGTTAAGAAATGGCAAATTAAAAAATTAAATAAAATTGATTTTTATAAATAATTTATTTGCAATTTTTTTAAATCAAAGTTGGGATTTACTAGTTGTTATGAAATTTTGCATTAGTAAAGCAAATTTCTTAAAAACATCATGAATAATTTCCCCCCTTCTTTAAATTTAAAAAAAAAAAAAAAAAAAAAAGAAAGACAAACTTTAAATAAATATCTTGAATTTCTGGAGAAGTAATATCCTGAATATATGAGTTTGTCAATAAAAATAATTTAATTATGTATTCCTCTTCATATTTATTCCTTGCTTGTATTATTGACCTAAATGTGAAAAAGAAATGAAACAATTTGGGGATTGCCTATTTCCAATACTTTTTTTTTTTACTTTATATATGTGAACAACTTTTCTTCGATGAAGAAAAAATATGTTGATATATTTTATCAAAAAAAAAATTTTTTTTAAAGATTGAAAAGTTTCAGATTTTAATACATTTGGTTTAAATTTTAAGCACTTTAAAGCAGTTTTGCTGACATGTGAAAGTACAAGTAAAATAGGTTCTGGTCAAGAATTATTCTTAGTTAGAAAGTATCAATTTTTTAACCTATGACAGTAACAATAACAATAAATATGTATATTTTAAATAAACAGTACGTTTTTCACATTTTAACATGATTCTTCCTACTAAGATTTTTATCTTAGACATGAAAATTTTTACTTAAATTATATTAGTTATTATTTTCATTTAAATTATCATATTCCAAAAATACAAGCTGCTTATTAATTTGGTATATTTCTTGGCAAAGATTTTATGAATTACAAGAAAAATATGCATTGTATTTAAAAGTTCATCTTAGATAATATGGATAATACTGCACACTGGTTAACCAGAATCCATTATATTTCATGTTTAAAGTATGCCATTTATTATTGACATCTCTGTATACTTCTCCATGTTATGTCAAATATTTTCTAAAGCAAAAAAAAAAAAAAAAAATATTGAAAAGTGAGTTGTGTGTACAGATATTTAAAGCTGAAATTTTTTTCATAATTTTGAGAAGAAATATGTTTATTAAGAAATGTTTTTTTCAACCTTAATTTTCATATTTTATTGAAATATTTAGCTTTTTTTCTTTGTGAGAAGAAAAGTAATTGTATTTTGTCCATGTTTTTATTATTGTTACTGATAATAAGAAAATAATTTAGAAATTGTCTGTTATCAAATCTCTATTTAGAATGATTATTATCCCAGATTGTAAAAGTAACTAGAAAACTACTTGTGTTTAGTGCCCTATAATGATGGACAGAAAATTTAATTTCCCCACATTCTTTGTTATTAAATTGGTACAACTAATTATTTGTATTTAATTACTTTTTGTATAGTCTTTGTATTCTGAAGTGCCAAAGTGCTGAAAATATAGGATATAGTGGGGAAATATACTATAAATTTATATAGTGTATAGATACATGTTAACTAAATGACACATATTGCAGGACAAGTGTTTAAATAGCCATTGCATGGCTGGTCCATTACTAAAGCATTTTATAGAAAATGGCTTGTTTTTGTTAAAAATGAGTTAGTAAATGTTTTTATAATGCTACGGGTCATTTCTAATGACTCTATTTCCCCCCTGAAACATGAGTCCCAGTTTTACTAAATACAAATCATGTACATAATACCCTGACATGCTGTAATGTAAACTATATTATTAATTCATACATGTTTTTAATATGCCTTTTTTGCTATGAAAGTGGTCCAGAGATTCATAGTCTGTATAATTTACTGTTATATGGAGTGCACTAAATTTAGAATGAAGTAATTTAAAAGTATGTATGCGATGTTATGTTGTTTATGTTTTAGGTTTAGAACTCTGATGTGCTTCTTATTATTAATTTGTTTAACTTTCATAAAATATATTTTTCCCTTTATATCATTTATCTGAATTGTTTTCATGGTGTCTTTAGTGCAAACTATGTTATATCTATATCCCAGTGTATAAATAGATATTATATCATAGCTCTAAATTAAATATATATATATTATGACTATTCAACTAAAGTTTTAGAGAATGGAAAAAAAAAAGTGCTTGAGGTTTTTAACTTCATTCACTTACAAGATCTAAATTGTGTTTTTAAAACATATCTTTTTTTGGTCATCACTGGACTTTCAGAATTAGACTTCTCTTTTATTTAAGTCTTTTTTATCATCTATCTGAGCATAATATATTCTGTTTAAATATAAATCTCTTAAATATTTATTAAATACCCTGTGTTACTTCATGTAAGTACCTTTCATATTACACTGTGCATAGGTCTGATTCTAAATAACTTTTGTAATATTTCCATTTATTATGTTATAACAAATATATATTAACATAAATTTATACATGATATAGATCTGAAATTCTTGTTTCTTTTATATAATTTAAAAAAAAAATATTTAGAGCATCCGGTTACTGAGTGAAATTTATTAATTAACAGAGAAAAAATTTATTAGCCATACAATAATGCGAAACAAAAATTATTAGCTTATACCTGCAGTAAAATCTTTGGTATATTTAAGACCATCGCATTTGCATTGCCTCAATTCTGCAGTTTTTTGGGTGTCTCAAAAATGTAACTATGCAAACAAATTTTATTATAAATGCAATATCAACTTTCAAATATGTATCTGTTGATATATCTTGTTTTACATTTATATCTTCTCACACTATCTGTATATTCATCATAAATCAAATTTTTATTATTTTTTTAAAATTTCATTTGAATCTCTCTAATATTTATAACATAAATTTTAATTCTATTAAATTACATGCACTCTACTCTATTTATGAATATATTTGGATTGATAAATTAACATCAAATAAAACTTGTGCATCAAATTGTTAATTAAGAATAATTAAAAACTTAATGATAAAATTTTATGAACTTGACAGTGTAGCTAGCATTGACTATCAGATAAATAAGTTTATCTTATAATAAATTGCAACAGTAGAGATCAAATGTTGTATTTATTAAATATCTTCCATAATTCATAAAATTAGATGCAATTTAAGTATTTTATTATTAATCTTATTTTTATTTAAAATTATTGCTAAAATGCTAAAAGTATTTAGTATTTGGATACATTTTCTTTTTTTCATCCTGACTAATAGTTGTCTCGTATAATATAGAAAAAATGAAAATGTGTGTGTTTGCTAGTGCACTCCAAATTCATGATTTCCTACTAATTCTAGTAGTAAAAACTCTGCATTTATATTAGTACACGATGTAGTAACACTTCACTGGCACAGATTTGGTGTGTTTTTAACATAACAGAGTATTTCTTGTACAAGTATATTATTTTTAACTCAATATATTTTGTTAGATGTTGGATTATTTATTTTCAAATTGTTATAAATTGGAAGTCAATTATGTTAGATAATGTTTTGCATAATTCTTTGAATGTGGCCTGATGAAATTGATTGTATAGGATTTATATATTTTTTTTTTTTTTTTTTAATTTGATTTGTAAAATCTCCAATTGCCTAAATGAGTAAAATTTTTAGATAGGTTCCAGTTTTAAAAATGCCATGTGTAATTCTGTGATAAAAAGAGATGAACATACTATTTTTTCCAGTAACAGCTATTAATTTTATATTTTCATTTTTGTGAATTGCATATCTATTCTGTGACATATAGCAAAACTATTGAAGTGTCTGCTTTCGTGTATCTAGTAGTTTGTGCTGATTTCCCATACTATGCTTTCATGGTGCTCATTATACTGACTAGTCATTGACTTGCCATTAGAAAATAATCAATCATCTCTTGTATCATCTTCTTATTGAATGTATGCATGTTTGTGTATCTTTGAGTTAGTCAATATAAAATATTTCTCTAAGACAATAAACCTGTTTATATAAAAAATGAGTTGTATCATATGTGATTCTGTATCTAATGCTTTTAATCTTTTTGGCTGACAACTATAACATTTTCAACATAATAAATTATGTATTGGAATTTTGAATGATTATATTATCTGATATATAGGGCTCTAAAGTTAACAAATATTTCATGACATTGGATTTTATCCTTCTTTTAAAAAAATTCTCAAATTAAAAGGGCAAGAAGTGCTTACAAATAAAATTCACTTAAATAAAATTCACTTATTACAAATTTGAAATGTGTGGTAATCAGGTACCGTTAATGACAGAAATTGTCTTATGTTAAATAACTTATTAATAAGC